TCAGGGCAGCTCTCGCAGTGTTTGTGGACCTTAAGGCTTCCTCGTAGGTTCATGGTTTCCAGACTCGAGTGGACGCATGGCGTCTAGCCCGTTTTGAAGTCTTGTCGGAGCTTTCATTGCTGCTTGAGCTTCCGGAGCCCAGCAGCTGCGAAAGGAGTTTGCAGTGGCTTTGCTCCAGCGGTCCACCCCGGCCGTTGCAGGCAAGCAGGATTCAAGGAGATGTCTGGACTTGAACGGGATGTCGTCCAACCAAACCTGTGACCTTGTTATCGCGGGGCCGAGCCTCTGCCACATCGGGCGATTTAAGCCATCAGGCCACAGGAGCAGACAGAGGCCCATGTTTTCAAAGGTCTTGTATCGCAACGGGCTCTGACCCAGCGTCCTAATCTGGTTTCTTTGTCGAGCTCCTGGCCCAGAACCTTTCATCGAAGCCCCGACACTAAGATATTTGGTGTTCTCTTACTCTAAGCGGGGCCATGTAAGTGACACAGGAGACTTTCCGAGATCTCGCTGGGGAGTTTATACTTCCCCACCCTTGTTTCGTCTTCTATCAAGCCTATCATACAAATCATGCAATCCGTGTGAGATAGCCCTTGCATGCCTTGAGAAGTAGCTCTTCACTCGAAGCCAGGCGCACGACCCTTTGGAGTATGAAGCTTTTCAGCAAACGGAGCGCAGTTCAGGATTCTAGAGTCTAGAGGCTGCGGTGAGATGCTGCGAGAATCCAAGGCCTTCAAGGCCCGGCAGTTGCAGCGGCTACGGCAGGTGCCGTCCTAGTCCGCAGAAGGCACGGCACCCGGAGCGCACAGCACAGCTCCAGACTCCAGAGCTCTGCAGCCGGCAACCGACCTTAAAGTAGCTTGGACACGAATGCTTGCGTAAGGGCGTAGGCTCCATGTTCTGACAAACTCGGCTCTGCAGCGCTTTCACAGCCCTTCTCAGCTTCAACGGCTTCAACAGCTCCTTCGGGAACTCAGTTGAGATGCTGTATCTTATTCCTCTCGTACTGCCCATGGCCCTCGCAGTCGTCGACTGCGAGCACTGTGAGGTGAAGAGTGCCAGCATGATCCAACGGAACATGCAGAAGCATGGCGACTTGAAGGCACAATCTTGTATCGCTTCGACTACGGCCACCTGCGACACGTCCGCAAAAGCCTTCGACGTTGAGAGCGTGCTGGGTCGCATCCACCAGCAGCCTACCAGTGGTGCCAAACTTGCTCTGCTGCGCAAGTATGGTCGAGAGCTTGCGTCCTACGTGGGCGAGAGTCGTAACCACACGGAGATCATGAAGAACGGAACGATTGACCTGCACACCTTGATCAACGACCTCATCCAAAAGCTGCTCGCCGAGTTGACGGAATTCCAGGCATCCATCAATGCGTCTGTGGATTCCTTTGCGAGCTGTGGCGATCACCTGAAGCTGAACCAGGCATTGGTCCAAAACCAGTCTACTGCCATGGCTAACACTTTGCGGCTCCGCTCGGAGACAGACTCAACGATCACTGTCAGCGGAGACTTGGGACCGACGGTCGACCTTGCGAACACGGAGGGCACCCGACTGAAAAACCTCATCGATGAAAAGGCGCGCAGCTTTCCACCCGGACTTTTTTAGGGCTGACTGGTCGAACCCTCGGAAGGTCATTCAGTACACCCGCCAGCTGAACACCGTCGTCATGGCTGTGAATGAGGCGCCTCGGATAGGGCGAGGGAGCGTTTTCTGAGACCTCGAGGATGATGTGACTCTGTAGGACGCTGGGAGTCTATGCTTTGAGTCAAGGAGTGTTTTCAAGGGCTTCCAAGGGTCCCAAAAGCCATCAAAAGCCCTAAGGCCCTGAAGGCCCTCCCCAGAAATTGGCGCCCTGTTCCGCTCCGGCCAAGGAGAAGCTTGCCAACCAGAGCCTTCAGGATGCAAAGGACGCAGCGCTGGCGCTCTATTCCAGTTGCGAATGCCTCGTGAAGGAACAGCACGACAGCCTAGTGACCTCCGTGACTCCATCTCAGTGTGGATCGGTGGTGCTGATGGTGCTTGTGGTGCTTGTGGCTGCTGGTGTGTAGACGGTGTTGGTGCAGGTCGATAGAAGTGCAAGAACCGTGCAGCCAAGGTGAACAGCAGCAGCCGCCTGGTGCAGGACAACATCAATCTTCTGAAGTACATGAGCTGCAGGCTGCACAATGGAAAGTCATCAGACAGTTGCAACATGAACGGCGACGGCGGCAACAGCATCGACTTCCGCGCTGGGGAAGTCGTGTTGGCAGCAGATGCCACTTGTGACCAGAGCTCGCAAGGCTCGGGTCCGCCACATGGGCCTCCAGTCAATCACCCGTTCATAGACTTTGCATCAACTTGTTCCTGCACTACGGGCCAGAACGACGCTTGCAACACAAAGTGCCACGGTCCGCAGGAGGAGGGTGGGCAGACCTGCTTCACCTACACAGATCTGGGGTCCCTGACCTGGAGAGCTTGCATGCAAGAAGCCTCAAGGCTCGGTGCGACCCTGTGTTCGGAAGATTACACCGAAAAGGGTGGATGGGGGGGACATCGGCACGGCAACGAAGCTGAGCAGTTTAACCGTTTTTATTCGGTGCAGTTCACCCCCATCACGAACACTGCAAAGTGCGTCGTTGGCAAGCTTGACCGGGTGACCATGATGGACAGATCCGTTTGCTCAGAGAAGGCCGAGTATGATGGAGACATTTGGTGGTACCATGATGCTGGCGAGCTTTACTATGATGAGTGTGTGTACATGGCCAGCAGTGCGGGCGCGACTGTCATTGATCCCTCCACAATCGGCCAGGGTGATGGGACGGGCTACTGGTTCTTCACCAGGCATTCCGGAAACGTTTACCAATACTGGACAGGTGCTGATACGACCGGCATGTTCAACGTTGGATGTAAATCTCGCGGTGGCCAGAAGAAGTGCATGTTCGGCTTCATGCAGGTCTGAAGTGTAGCTGCCTAGCTCAGGTGGCCGAGGACGGACGCCCCGTTTTTTTAGGAGCGGCTCCCAGCTGGCTCAGGAGAGGTGTGTAAAGTAATAGCCATTAAATGATGTTACATTGCAGACCTTGGCAGCATCTGTAACAAATCACCTAACTGGTCAGATCTGGTGATGCTCCCGACGTGGCACGTCCAGCTGCCTTAAGCCCTGGGCATCGAGTAAACGTCCACATTTCAAGTTTCAAAAGATCACGCAGGGGTAGCGGGGTGGTGTAGTCATGTGTAGTCATGAGCCAGGTCATCCCGCAGGACGATTCATTCTTCCGGCCTTGTTGGACCTGAGAGATCGCACTATCTTACGAGATCTGCGCTGGTCACGAAAAAGCGAGGGGGAGGGTGCGTGTGGCTAAAACTCTTCACCTGCAGCCCCGACGTTTTGCCGTTCCAAACTACGTTTCCCCCGACGCTCGCCTCGTGCTTCTATGTTTTGCGGCCTGTGAAGCAGAACCTGTTGCTCTGGATGTGCTTGGACCGTCTTGGAAGGTTCAGAGCGACCTCCGGGAGCTGTTTGGTGATGCTGTAGACGAGAGACTCGTTTCACCCTTCGACCATTCAGGTCGCTTCAGAATCATTGACGTTCGTCGGGACATCAACAACACTCAGTGATTCAGTCCTCGCAAGTGGGTTACGGTCAGGAATCAAGAGCAGTCCTGTTGACCTATTGCCGGCCGGGGACGATGGGCGTCATGAGCCTGGCCGCTGCCCGAGATGCGCCTTTGAATATCCCGCAAAACGGGTTTAGCTCAAGTTGCCCGACAAGCCCACGTCGTCATCCCGTATCTTTGGAAGCGGCCATGCAGATAACGAGAGAAGTGCTGGCCTTGTCGGGATCACTCCGCAAGGGCGAAGCAACCTGACAAAAAAGTAAAAGCAGGGTGTTGGCCCGCTGCTGAGCATTGCTACACGTTGCAATCTTGGCTTAGCTAGCGAGTTTGAAGCCTTTCGTCGTAATAAACTCACTTCGAAGATACGACCCCAGGCGCAGGTTACGCAGGGTGGGGGATGAGCATAAATTTCACTCCGCATTCAAAGAGCTTGCCGGGCAGGTCATACAGCCGCCCCAGCCAGTGGAGCCATTTCAGGCAGCTGCCAGGCACGTTTTGAGATCGCTTGCGTGCTCTTGCACGCTTCGTGTCGTTCTTTGCGGGAGGTTTCCAGCAGCTTGCCTGGTGCCTGGCTCGGCCAGCCGAAGGCTTGGCCTCTCGTTCGAAAAAGGTTGCTGGACTTGCCCAACCCATATCGAGACGCGAGAGAGGTGCGGGAGCGCTTTTGTTAGGAGGCATGTTGTTGCCACGGCCATCCGTGGCCAGGCGGGTGGAGCTCGTATATGACGGTGCTAACTCTCGTGACCAACGATTCAAAATCAGATATCGAACCATGGCCTCAAGGCCACAAGCCAAGCTTGCCTTTCGACGGCCTGCGCGACTCATCGACCCGGGTTATTTATCAAACAGCACCGACCGGGCTGCATCGGACAAAAGGTGTCGCCCGAAACGCCGCCGAGACCTCGTTTTCGAGACAAGATGTTGTGACGCATGTCGCCCGAAGGTTGTTAGGCTGGTAGGGACACTGTGCGAGGGGTCCTTGACGGCGTGACCGTACTCTGGATACTGCCGCAGCCGGGCTTCAGCAGAACGGCACAGACACTCCGACAAATCACAGCGTCGAGCGAGGCTCACAGCCATGAAATTCTGAACTGACTCTGAAGCCTCCTGGGCAGCCTTTGGGTTGGTCTATGGACTTAAGCAGCTTGCTGCTCTTGTGCCGAGCACGTGTGGGGGCCTCAGGCGCACAGGAATTCATGGCGGAGCGGGTGTGTGCTTGCGTCTTTGCCTGTTGCACCGAGACTGTACTCGTAACTCCCCTCACGTGCTCCTGCCAGTTGGTGGCTGCTAGTGGCGTGCCCTCCAGCCAAGCAGTGCTAGCGGCCGGAGGCAACTGTCGGAGTGCCTAGCCGCATGGGCCGTATGCAGAACCAAGATATGAGAGGAAGCATGACATCATTCGCTTGGTACGGACAGTGTCTACCCATGCCAATTGCCAATGAAGCATGCGCAATTCGCATCTGCTGAAGAGTCCTGATGTTGGTTAGGGCTGCTTTCAGTGACAACAGAGAAATGAGAAGGAGTTGGAGAAAGCATCTGGATCGGAACATCATTCATCAAAACTTGAGTCATCCTGTCATCAGTATCCCCCGCCATCGCTTTCACCTCTAACCTCAATCCTCATTCACCTCTTAGCCCTGAATCCCTGAACGAACGCACCCTGAACACCCTGTACACCCTGAACCGGGGTGTAGGACAAGGGTACCGGGACAGGGGGGACAAGGGTACCAGGCAGGGGAAACCCAACCCCAAACCCCAAAAACACCCAAAATCCCTCACAATCTTTCTGCATCTCCGGACCTTGAGCCAACCATTGTTGGCATAGTTTATGGTTAACCTCAGTGATGACTCGATCTGGGTGTCATCCTTGCGCAGGGGCTGATGCATCAGACGACATGTCCAAATGAGCAAGAGGGCTTCAAACCTGCGTCTACAAACAAGTCCCATACCCCACGTACAGGCCGCCAAGAAGCATACTTAGCTCCGCCTGGAGCGACTGCTTCTTGCATCGTCTGCCTCAAAGAGTGCCACCGGTACTTTATCTAGTTTACCATGAGCCAAACATGCAGTCATGTGCCTGAAGTCCTGCAAAACGATAGGGGAAACCCCAAAACGATACCCCTTCTCCAGGGCCCGCTTCTAGGAACAATAATATTGCCGCGGGCTCATGTTGTGGATGGAGTGGAGTCCATCCCGGTCCATCCTCATCCGGGTCCTCGCAAATGTCCCCGGTGCATCTGCTTCGTCGATGCGCGGAGCTTGGCTGCAGGTGGCATTCTGGCCCTGGCTGCGGCTGCTGTGCCACTGCTCCCGGGGGGGCGGCCCGGGCATGGCTTTCTAGAAGCTTGGATTGAACACTTGAGCCTTGAGCCTTAAGCTACCAGTATGGAGCGACACTCATGGCCGACTCACCAGGTCTGGTCGCGGCCGCCGAGTGCGCGCTTTGCAGTGCTGCTGGCCGCGCGAGCGCTCTTCTTTCCAGCGCTGGCTGAGGAGGTGCGGGGATGTTCGAATTTGAAGGGCATCAGTGACAGTTTTGTGATTCATGCTTGAACTGTCGCGGTGCACAAGGCTTTCTGGCGATCAATCCTCCTGCAACTTAGTTGCCAGAGTCTGTGAGATGCAGCTGCGTGAATGTTGCTTCTGTGCAACTGCGGCTGTAATCGTTACGTAGCCTTGGTGGTGGCAATCTTAGGCCCAATGCCGATGCAGACCTCTCCGAAGGTGGCTCCCGGTTAGCACACCTTGGATGGGAGCTAGGATCGAACGAGGCCGTGAAGTCTTTCCACTGCCGATCTCAGACGTCTCTGCTCCAGTCCGAGCCCGGTCTTGCGAGTAAACGAATCGGTGCTCGTCACTGACGGCAAACTGGCAACCTGGCACTTCACTTAAAATCGACACTTCTGCAGGTTTGACTTCGAAGTGGGGAATGCTGCCTTGGCTGTCGATAAAGCAGTGGCGCCTTGCTGCAGATGGCAATGCGATGTAGTCACGAAAGCTAGCTCTGTTGAGCTTGCGGGAGTTGTCCTTTAGCAATTCACCTTGTATTAAGGCACTAGGGAAAAACAGGGTTTGCGCCTTATCAGGTGGGACGTCCAAGAGTTAAGGTCGGGGGTGGGAGGGGAGGGGGTGCCGCCCCCCCCCCCCTCACCTCGTTCATGAAGTATCTTCGAAGGATAAGGTGCGGCGCGCTCCCCCCTCCCTCCCCTCCCTCCCGTCCCTCCCCTCCCTCCCCTCCCTCTGAAGGTTGCGGCGCGTGGCATAAGGTGGAGGGGGGGGGGCCCTCCCCCCTACCCTCAAGTCTCTCCCCCTGCCCCCCACTCGCAAGGTCCTTCAGTTTGCTTCTGTTTGAAGTCTGTTCATGTCAAACGTCCCCCCCGTGCAAGTCATTCGCATCGCCTCACTAGTCACCCCGTGTTCCCACTATGCTTCCTTTCCCCTAGCTTTCGTCGCCCTCTTCTCAAGTGTCACCCTGGGGCTCGTCCTGTGTTCGTCGGGTGCTGATAGTGTCTGGGCCCGCAGTGTCTGAATTTTTAAGGCGTCAAGCTCGTCTTGCGCCTTGAAAAGCCATGATATGTTCGTGGTGCGAGCGGCAGCGTTTTGCTACTTGCGCAGACGGCCCAGGTTATGGGCGCTCGCTTGCCTGCTGCTCTTTGTGGTGGCATGGCGGCTTCAGTGCATGCGCGTCGTCCTGTTGCCTTCGCAAGCTGAGGCTATGCACCTGGTCTCCGGCCCTTTGCTGTCACGAGCGGGTGCGACGAAAGACCAGGGCAGGCAGGGGACTGCTGTGCCCACGCGTCAACTCTGCGCATCTCTGCGCTCTGCTCAGGACGTTCCAGGACCCGCGCTTCCTGCACCTTGGCAGCTTCAGAGACGGTCGAGCCCCATGAGCCGCGCAGGGCCGGCTGCCGTGCGGGGGGTCTGAGGTATCTCGCGACGGGGCTCGGAATCGCCTGCAGCCTCGTGTACCTGGGATCAGGCTGCACGACCGTGATCTCGGCACTGGACTGTTAGCTTGGAGGAGATGTGTGAGCCGCAAACAGTTTGGCAGGCAACCTGTGGGCAGCAGCGCTGGTTCACTGGATACCCGTCTGCGTATGGCTGATCTTCCTCGGAGGAGATGCCAGGCCAGACGCAATAGGACGCATGCGCCGCAGCCACGTGCAGACACGTCGATGTGCCTTGGACTGCCGGCCGTCCATCACCTCTCGGCCATCTTGCAGCGAGGCTTCGTGGTGTGAGCGAGATGTGCGATGACACGACGTCGGATAGCAATGCAGAGGGCTCGCTTCGAAAACAGAGAGCTCGTGTGCAGAAAGAGGCATGCAGTGATGCAGCATCCAAGCTGCTCTGACCGAAGTGACTTGTCCACGAGCTGCAGTGAGTTGAAAGCCGGACAGCTGATGCTGCCTTTCCTCTTTGGGTTCAATATTTCCGAAGCCACGGTCCGATCTCTTTTGCCTCTCCTGCAGGCGCGGGGTTCAGAGCAGGTTCAGGGTGGCTTGGAGCCTTGGTGCAGCAGACTGGTTCGGTCGTGGTCCTGGGCTTCTCACCTGCTGACTAGCGGCTAACGGCCAGCGAAACGGGAGTTTCAACCGAACTAGGCATGAAAGCTCGTGAGATCCGCAGGCTCAGTGAACAGCGCTCATGGCGAAAGCCCTGCTTTTGCTGCCGCTGCTGGCAGCAGCAGACGGGATCCACGAAGCACTGGACCAGGACGCCTGGAAAGCCGAGGAGCCTCAAGGAGCATACAGGCGCTTTTACCACTGTTCCCGAGGACGACACATGCTCCGACCCTTCTTGTGCCCTGGGCCTGCTCCACGTACGAGGCAATGCCACCAGCGAGGGCCCTGAAAATGCAGTGCTTGGCGTGAAACTCTTGTGGACATGTTGAGCAAAGCTTCCTACTGGTATGCGAAGTCTAAGTCTGGGGCTGTGCTTTGCGGCGTTATTCAGATCTCAGGTTCGTCACTGCATGAAGCCAGTCGAGGCTAGCTAGTTGAGTCGTTGTCGGTGTTCTCTTTGCTTGAATAGTCTATGCCGAGTGCGGGACCCAAGTTCCTGTCGAATTGATTCATCGTTGATGCTGGTTCTGCTTCAAAGCTGAGGTGAGGAGGCAGCAGATTACCAGCCGGGGCGAGAAACAGGCTGTCCAGGGGCATGCAGCGTTCGAAGGCATTTGTCGCCTGCCTCGTGCAGCACCGGCTGGGGGAAATTTATTCAGTGATAGCCCGGAAGATGGATGGGACCGGTCTGAGTCTTCAGCTTTGTCGCAGGGGTCTCCTGCATGTGGAGCAACTGCGACACCGCTAAATTGGGAGATGTGACCTGTCATCACTTCCGGTGCATTTGCAAAGAGCCTTGGCAGCCGTGGAGTATCTTGTTCATGACGCCTCCATGCACACACCCGGCGGCGCGGGGATTGCTGACGAAGGTTCCAGGGCGCCCCCCCGGGGGGTCGGATGGGCGGGATTGGAGATGCCCCCATGAGAATCTCAAGTCGTGCCGAGGACAAGGCCCAGTGGAGCCGGGTCCTGAGCCTCTGAGCTGAGCCTTTTGTGGCAGCCCCCTTTCAGACGAGAAATTTACTTTTTGGGCTTCCGTGCAGGCGAAGAAAGGAAGACCTGCGTCGAGGAATCGGCTTCCCAGGTCAGTCAGGACACAGGCAGGCTGGAAATTGGGCGTCCGAGCCGCTCGTGGCCAGCAGCCGTGAAAGCTGAGGAACATAGCCTACCCCCCACATGATCCCCACATGTCTCACGCTGAGACATTGAATTTCAGCCCCGTGAATGGGCTGCGATGGTTCGGGTGTCAGATCCTGTTGTTTCGATCAGAGAGCACATGACGAAGAAGACTTTGCTGTGAAGTTCGGAAGTCTAGACAGAGATAGTGTGTCTAGTCCTGAAGTCCTCGACCTCGACCTCGGGCTCTCGACTTGCAGGCGGCACCTGCAGTTGGTTTGGCTGCAGCAAGAGCCGAGGAGAAGTGTCGCGACGTGGCTGCAGATGGCAGAAGGGCCAGACTGGCAGCATATCCGAGCTGATTCTGGTGCTCAGGTGCGTGAAGGGACGCTGCTTGTGCAACGATGGCTACGTGGCCTTCAAGGGGAAGTGCTACAAGACCACCACTACGACAGCTGAGCCCGAGACAACGAGCCTTGCCTGAACCTCTTGACGATTCTTCTTTGCCGTCGGAGTCGGGGAGTGATTTCTTCGCAAACTTCAGCTGACAGTGAGAGGCAGCATGCACCCAGGACAGGCACATGGCCCGACGTCGTCACCTCCAAGCCTGCGTATGTGCCGCCACCGCCACCGCCACCACGACACCCGGCGAGACGAAATCGGGGCATCCGAATCTTGAGGCTCCAGCCTTCTTCCAAGTTTGGAATAAGACCACGACTTGAGGATGTCAATGGGATGCAGGTTGAAGGGCTTCAGCCTGTCGGAAAACCGAAAATGGCTGGAGTACCTATTTGTCTTTTCGCTGTGCGAACTGGTCGCGTCAAGCCCAGACTCGGCTTCACTGAGGACACCATGATGCCCCAGCACCGTCGCCGCCGAAGTCACTTAGTGAGAAATCGCAAGGGAGGTGGGTATCGCGGGTCCAAGCCTCCATGAGTGTTCACGAGGGCGGCAGAGACGCTTCAGCTGTCGAATCAGCTTGTTATTCCTTCTTGCGGCGCCTGCGTTAGACAGAAGCGGCTCGCAGATTTTGCAGTATTACTTTAAACTTGGTTGAGGATGACCGCTTTGGCATCACTTGCTATCGCTTGCACCGTGTGCCTATCTCTCTTCTCTCCCTTCTCTCGCTTTCTCGCGCTCGCTCGCTCTGTCATCCTTTGGCACACTCGCATGTGCACCCATACGCGCATGCACACCTGCGCACATGCATATCTGCAGAATACATATAAGAAACAACAGACAGTCATGCATATTGCTTGCATGCATCTATAAATGTGACAGAAGCATCAGGTCCGACTCTGACGGCGGCAGCGGCGGCAGCAGTGGTAGCGGTGGCGAGTGTGATCTTCACAAAGGACTTGATATCGAGCAGTTAAACTGTCAATTGAGACAAGGTTGTTTGGTTGCCCACCTGCTTGACAGCGTAAGTGCAATCGGGGCACGTAAGCTCATGTCGAAATATGTCCTGTTGCCGCATGAAAATTAGAAGTGTGCTATGCTGCATCTTCAGCAGAGCCATACCTTTGGTGTGAGACTCGAAGGAGGTTGCAAGAGTAGCGTAGTTCCCCGCGCGTCAATCGTCTACTTGTGCAAGGGCTGGGTTTCGTGAACTATGTTCATTGCCGTGATGTCACCCCATCGCATTGTGAACAGCTGTGTTCCATCCGAAACGACATGTGGGCTGCAGTCGCGGAACAGCGCCAGCCTGGCTAGTGGGCTGCACAAGTTACTGACGAGTAAGGAGGCAGAGATCTTTTTGGAAGCTGCGCGTGCGTGTGAGGATCGGCCTCACATGTTGCATGCCGTCTCAAGTCTGGTTTCATAGAATCATGCTTTGGCCTGCCCACGGGCCGCAACGTGCCTGTCTCCCTGACCTAGTGCAAATGCTGTATGTGACTTCATACTTTGCGGCTTCGCGCGCTGCACGCCCGATGACGTGACTTAACCACGTCTCCTTCAGCTTTCGTTGACCATCAGCTTGTCATAGTGTGTGTGTGTGTGCTGCACTCAAGAAATCATGTGGAAGCATCGTGCGATCGCAGAACATATGGGTGTTAAATACGAAGGATGTGCCGACTTGGGTCTGAAGGGGCTCTGCTGTCCTACGGCCGGGGGTGCCTTGGCTTGCGAGAGAGGGTCCTGCGTGTGAGCGATGAAAAGCACAGATCCTCGAGCAAACACTGCTTTACTTGCACCTTTGTTCGATACCTCGTCCGAGCTTGATGCCCTCATTCTTGACATCACAGCAGCTGCAAAGGCACGAGCCTGGGGTGCTGTTAGTCGACGAGCGCCGGTCGGCTGCAAGGATGAACATCTGTGCCTTCTGCAAGGGCAGCTTTTGTGCATAAAATTGCTTCGGATAGATTCTGTTGGATATTTAGTAGAACACGTTGCTGTTGACTGCAGGCCAGCATGATGCATGAAGCGGTAAGTATTAAGGAGCTCAAAGAAAGTTGCATGTTGCAAGAAATACAAGCAGACAAAGTCCGTCTGGCAGGTGGTTGGACTTGGTAATGAGTGCCGCAAAGCAACCCAGGGATAGGGTTGAGATGCGGAGTCTAGATGCAGATGTATCTGAGGTACTGGCACCAACGAGGACGCCCTGTGTGGACCGCCAGAAGATGCGGCCACAAACGATAACCTCTGCACACCGTAGACATGGATGTGACCGGCGACTCGCAGCAGGAATTCAGCGTTGAGGTAAAAAGTGCCTTGATGCGCCGGAATATGCCACTGGTGCCGAATCGACTCAGGCAGATCGTCTAGCAAGAACCTTTCAGTAGGATGGCCTGGCTCGAAAATGTGGTTGCATTGATGGTCTGGCGATATGTGCTTTCACTGGAATTGCGGATCGGAGGTGTCGACCTCTGCAGATACTGCTCAAACTCTTGTTGTGCCCTGTCCGCTCCTGCCCGGCCCTGCTGAGACGCCATGCACGCCAGGTTCGCTTTGAGGCTCAGTCTCTGTGATACCTGCAGGAGCAACATGTGCGGCACTTGTGGCTTAGTGGCTTAGTGATTGTGCTACGGGGATCTATTCCCCAAAGAATATGGTAACGCCATGGCAGCTATGGGGTTCTTGCGTTACAAGTAGATCGCTGTTCAAAGCAAGTCGGCCTGCCCTGTGGTTCTGCGACTCCGCTGTGGCACGGTGCACACTTGCGCCTGAACTCGCGTGCTTCGCGCCGGCCAAGTTTGCCGGGAATGCCGAATCTGTTGCAAAATCCAAGAATATCCAGCACTTTGGTGCTCGGGGTGTGTTTGGGTGGAAACGGTGCTGCCGCCACAGTATCCCCTTCAAATCGCTCGAATTCACCATCCAAGATTGTGTTCAGGGGCAGGTGCACATAAATCTTGGGGTGGGGCTCGCGTTCCGCCAGTGTGCTAAGTGCTTTGGGGACGCCTTTTCACCTCCTGCTCCTACTCCTACTCCTATATTCGTACTCCTGCTCCTACTCCCACTACTACTACGACGACGACTACTAATACTACTCCTACTACTACTACTACTATTATTACTGTTACTACTACTACTACTACTACTACTGCTACTACTACTACTACTACTACTCCCACCTACGACGACGACTACTAATACTACTACTACTACTACCACCACCACCACTACTACTACTGCTACTACAACTACTGCTACTACAACTACCAGTACAGTAGTGCCCTTCGAAATCCGAAGATCGAGCACGCAAAGTCCAGAAGTAGATTTGGCGACTACATCACATGGTCCGACATGACGAAAGTACGGTAAATACCGAGCGACATGGCCGTTTTGGAGATATTTTTTGGGGTGTCCGCGTGGCATTGTCGTCATCATCCCTCCAATCACCCCCCGACAAATTTCTAAAATCCGAAGATCGAGTTTGCAAACTCGACAAGTGGATTTTGAGACAACAAGAAGTGGTAGGTAGGACATTACGAACGTACGGTACCTACTACGTACCAGTAGTAGTAGTAGTAGTAGTAGTAGTAGTAGTAGTAGTAGTAGAAGTAGTAGAAGAAGTAGAAGTAGAAGTAGCAGTAGCAGTAGCAGTAGTAGTAGTAGTAGTAGTAGTAGTAGTAGTAGTAGTAGTAGTAGTAGTAGTACTGCTGCTTCTGCTTCTGCTGCTGCTGCTACTACTACTACTACTACTACTACTACTAGTACTACTACTACTACTACTACTACTACTACTACTACTACTACTACTACTACTACTACTACTACTACTACTACTACTACTACTACTACTACTACGAGTGCTACCACCAGTACTACTGCCGTTGCTACTGCTACTGTTGCTGCTATTGCTACTGCTACTCCTGCTAATATTACTGCTACTCCTATACTCCTACTTCCACTCTTACTCCTACTCCTACTTCTACTTCCTACTCCTACTCTTCTTCCTCCTCCTCCTCGTCCTCCTGCTCCTCCTGCTACTACTACCGCCACTCCGATAGCGGCTTGCCTGGTTACTTACTTACTCACTTACTTACTGACATGCTTGCTTACTTACCTACCTACTTACTTACTTATGCTGCTACTACTACTACTACTACTACTACTACTACTACTACTACTACTACTAACTACTACTACTACTACTACTACTACTACTACTACTACTACTACTACTACTGCTACTACTACCACCACGACGACGACAAAGACAACGACGACGACGACTACTACTACTTCTACTAGTACTACTGCCACTGCTACTGCTACTCCTACTACTACTACTACTACTACTACTACTACTACTACTACTACTACGACTCCTACAACTACTACTACTACTACTGCTAATACTACTTGTCCTGCTGTTGCTGCTGCGACCACCCTATCATCTCCACCACCCACCCTGCCGCTCGCGAGCATCACCACTGCCGCCGTCGCGACGGGTGCTGCCACATCTGCCACTGCTGTCAAGCGCCGGCATCATCGCCACCGTATGGCAACCACGAAATCTTCAAGAGATGTCCTCGGCATTGGCCTTCGTCTTGTAAAGGTTGGGATAAAAGTCAACCACAGGCGCTGCGCTCTGGCAGCGGCCGTGCGCCCCTCGGCGCGTGGCTTTGCTGCGTCGCCGTTGGACACCACGGCAGGGAGGGAAGATGTGAGAAGGGGGTATCGATGACATTAGTAGAACGGTCTTGCATTCAGCATGTTCGCTGTACCCACAAATCTGCGGTGACAGCCATGTGATCCAGCACGTCCTATTCATGTTGAATGTGCAGGCGAAGCTTTATGATGAGTTGGTGGATAAGTCGCTCAAGGATCTTCATGCATGTCGGGCGGACTTCTGAGAGTAAAGCGGTGGTGCCAATGGTCAGCCTCCCAAATTGTGCCCTTCCGGATTATTTTGCCGGCCAGCCGGTGATACCTCTATTTCGAATGTCGCTTTAGCAGGTTGGAAACAGCTGTTTGGCATTTCCTTGTCAGGAGTACCAAGCCAATCAGAAGGTAGCCTGGACCTTGCAGTGGGTTCTGCAGCATAGCTCGAAGCGACACCATCTCTTCGCAAGCTCGGAAAATTGGACGAGGTCGCAGCAGACCTGGATGCAGAGATTTCCAACAGCAAGGCCTGTGTGGACACTCCATTGCTCAGAATGCATGTGCTTTGAATGCGGCGCGGCACGCTGTCCACCCCGAGCTCCAGAATCTCAGAATCTCGGGAGGTGGTGCTGTTCATGGAGGGCACTCCCGATGCGCCCAAGTCCGAGCCGAGCCTCAACGCCACGGCCCAATCCACGTAGTAAGCCGTTTGAGATGTCTCGTGTCCTTGCAAGTCGCGTGCCCTCCCTGCTCCCTGCTCTTGTGACAGAGGTACACCGGGGATGTGGGTCTGGGAGCCTGTGCTCAGGCCGTGAAGATGCTGACGGAAGCTCAGGTGGTGCCCATGACCTCCGTGAATGTCAGCAGCTCACATGACCCCGGTTCGGCATCTGCAGGCGGACCTTTGCTTACTGTTTCCTGAAATAGCAGGTTCTGACGCATCCGGCAATCCTCGGCTACACGGTGGCGAAGACGCAGAAACGAAGAACTCCACACCTTTATGTGAACGGAAGCTGCTTGTCTTCGTCAGAGGAAGTGCTGTGTTGGTTTACTTGTGTAATTTTGCACAGCCACGTGCAATTCAATTGATCATGTCCGCGGAGGCTTTTATGCAGACTATGATGGCCTGCTTGCGCAACATGGCACAGGCCTACGGCCTCCTGCATCATACTACTAGCTCTGGGAGCCCTTTGAAGCCCTTTGACCGGTGCAACATTTCCTAGCTGTTACGATGCAGGGCAGCTGGCGAAGAACCTCGGGACCGAAGCCACGAAGAGCAGCGGCGTTTTCGGCGGGGAGCTGCCCATTGCCACCTACTGAGGCCCTGGCCGTGTGTTTCCGAGACTGCTGTGGGCTGCGGGCGGCATTCAGCCTGGCAAGCTTTGGCGAAGTCCGTGCTTGAGGATCAAGGTTTGCTGGAGGCAATTGGCCCAGCTTTAAGGAACTGTCTGAGTTGAGGGGGTTTCAGAGAATTGGAGGGGTCTGGTCAGTCTGCGATGCGCGGCGAGGTGTGGCCCAGCTGAGAGCTCTCAGCTCCGAGACAGGGAGTAGTTGGAGAAAAGTAAGAAAGTCTACAATCCGAAGTTGAAACCAGTGATTGGCTGTTGCTGTTAGTGCACTCTCGGAGCAGCCGGCTTCAAGGCAGCTGCAAGGAGAATTGCCGCTGCCTGCACATTCTGGGTTGCGACAGCTAAGACATAAGGGATCTTCACGCACATTCTGCGCAAGCTTCTGAGCAACCCAGGAAGCTCGTATTGAAGGGACCCGAACTTTGAAACTCGCTTCGACTTGCCGCAAACTTGGAAGTTTGTGTGACACTGTCAGCTCTCCCAGAACTTAACTCTTCGTGAGCCACCAGAGGATCACTCGGTGATCAACTTCGACATTTCCTAAATATGTGTTGTGCCATCATACGTGACCTAGTGCGACCTTCTGAGGATCCCTTCTGAAGACACTGCACAAAGCCACTAGGTTTTGTTTGAGCCTGCATCATGGACCTAGCTTGAATCTGTGGAAAACAGCAGCTGCACCGGCCCCGGCTTGGGTGCAGAAGTTTTCGTTTATCATTGCCCAGGCCCGTTCCGGCAGCCTAGACCTTGAATCCTGAAGCCGACTGTCACGCCGTCTTGGTCCAAACCGCGCGGCTCTCGTAGTTGGAAGTTGTTGGGGTTGGCAGAAGGCGAGAGTTTGACAGCGTCGAAGCAGGTTGAAGTGGCGACCAAACACGGACGCAAGCAGAAGCCAGAAGACGAGCCCATCCGAAGCTCCAACATGAAGCAATGCGGCCGCCTTCTTGACAATTGTAGTAGCGAAAGGAACCTGTCAGCCATGTCCATCAAGTTCCGTGAAAAGCCACGGGGTGAGATCTGGCCTTAGTTCAGTGCTTCTATCTTCTAGACGTCTTTCACTCGCTCGTCGCTCTCGCTCTCGCTCTTTCTCGGGAGGCAGGGGAGAGGCGGAGAACAGACGGCAGGGGGATGAGGAAGGAGGAGGAGGGGGAGTGGCGGAGGGGCGGCGGAGGCGGCTGGCGGTGGAGGAGGAGTTGCTGCAGTGCGAAGCACGTAGACTCAGTGGAATGCTCTTCAGAATGAGGTTGGAGCTCAAGTTGGGCGGAACGCAGCTGCTACGCGGGAAAGACAGGCACGGCCTGGCAGTCAGCATGCTGCGGGCCGCCTCGTTTCTTCTGTCAGGCCAGTTCTGCAGAAAGATGAGCCCAAGGCGCAGCGCTTCTTACCTCCTAGACGCAGTCTCCGCGAATTTGAGACAAGATGTGCCGCTCCACCACAGCAATTTGGAAGACGTTCACTCGTTCGACTATGGCTTGAAATCTCAGTGTGACGTCCTTCCAACTTACAGTTGCAGCTAAAATCTCCAGATCCGAACAAGGCACTGAGAATCCACGACGTGTCATGTCCGGTTCGGAGTGGCTTCCAGCACCACTCAACACTGAGTAGCCTGGAACTTGGGCTGAGCTTGGTCTGCAGATGGCCTTCTCAGCGGAACCTGTTCGAAACCTGGGCGGCCGCGGGCCACAGCCTCAGCAGCCTCAGTCTGAAGATGGCGGCTTTGGAGCTTTCGCGGGTCGGAATCAGAGATGGGTCCGAGTCCGTTCTGAGGTGTTGGTTCGAAATCCGCGTGGATGTCTTTGCCGGCGGGGAGATGCCGCTCGGCAAGCACAGCAGATATCTGCTCTCCACTTGTCCATGCGGCTCTTCCCCGAGGTGTGTGATGGGTTTGGGCTTCACCGCGACCGACCCAGAAACCCTCGTGAACGAAAACGAGGGCGAGGCGAGGCTCACGGTCGTGACACCCTCCCGCCTCTTTCCTGCGTGGTTGGAGATGCCTCAGGCGCCCCGTTTACCTGGCTGTGCAGGGCACATTCCCAACTCTTTCGTGGGGCACCGAGATACAGGTATCAACTCCGCTCGGTTTTTTGAGAAGGGCGTGCCTTGCTGGAGCCCACAGACTGTCAATCTATCAGGCCTGTATCCTCTTGCGCAAAGGTCGTCGGCTACGGCCGGTCGCTGTACTGGAATGGCGAGCGCATTGAGGCAGCCGATCATTTAGGGGCTGTGATCCGGGGATTGAGCCACTGGGCATCATCGCATGCATCGCCAATCTTCGTTTTGCTGAGATTGAGCCGCTCTTCGCAAAGCTGAAGCCGGCGCAGACCTTCACTGTGGGAGCTTCCTCGGCGCTCGTTGTCTTGCAGGGGGACACATGTCTCGCATGCCTCGCACCTCGTGTGGGCTGGAGTGGCTAGAGAGGTGCTGCAGCTGCCCTTACACGCAAGACTGCACACGTTCCGAAGCATTCTCGGGCTGGATTTCAGCCCGACGGCTGAGAACTAGCAGCTCGTGTCTCGACGTGCCAGGCCTTAGCAAACCTCGACGGCGGCCTGGACTGCTCCGCTTTGTCTCGTCATGCAGTGCTCTGGGCTGTCAATATTCAGAGGAGCTGCAGGCTTGACGGACGGAGGATGTGGCTTACAGTAGGCTTAAAGACCCGTTCCTCTGACACTCGAAGTTACAGAAAGAAGCCCGCGCCAGGAGCTCTTCATTAACCGGCGGCTGGTCTACACTTTCTCGCCTGAGGCCTCCCCACAGAACTCCCTTCACACTTGGCCCACAGTAGAGTCGCTATGAGTCGCTCACGACCTGCGGTAGGCGAACGTGAAGCGGCCGATCGAAGTGGATGCACCCCTGTGGGCAGTCGTAGACTGCAGTGGTGGTCTGAAGAAGGCGCCCCGCGCTCGCAGGCGCTCGCACGCTCGCGCGCGCGCGCGCTTGGGCGCGCTTGCGCTTCCCTTGTTTGCCTTCCTTGATCTTCCTTTGGCTCTGGCTCTGCCATGCTCTGCCAAGGCCTCGCTGATCCCGGACTCCATCCTCCCGACTCCCGAGGAGGCGGCTCTCGGCGAGGAGGTACCCAGGAGAGAGTCCTGCTGCCGCAACGTCGAAAAGTTCCCTTTCCAGGAGAAGGCACTCGGAGCCGCCACAGAGGCAGAGGCCAGCGGTGGCCCGCGGTGGCCAGCGGTGAGCGGTCTGTGCCCGCTCGCCTCCTGGAAGCGCTTTAGTCTTCGCGCGCATGCCAGGACGAGCCTAACCCAGATGAGACCGGGGACGCCGCGTGAGTGTTTCGCCACGGCTTAAAGCCCGAGGCGACAGACTCGAGCGTAGGCGGGGAAGCTTTTGGTCAACTTTCGGTGGCAGATTCATCGGCATAGAGGCTGCTTGACATGACCAAAAGCTTGACCGGATCCTCTTTGGTTGCCTGGAGAGATACTTTCCCACCAATCAGCGGTCTGCCCCACTTTTCTGTCTCACGCACCGGGAAGCAGAAATGCTTCAAGCGTTGAGCACGCGTCAAGGAGCAAAACTTCTAATGCTGAATCCAGGCTGGCACCTCACGAGCAATCGCTCGAGTCGCTAGTGCTACAGTACAACGTCAGCGCGTGCGAAATGTAAATATCCTGCCCTGCGTCTAGTAGTTCGCAGAAGCTTCGAGGATGAGAAGCAGGATGCTGCTTTACCATGCTTCATTAAGATTTCCAGCGGCGCATCAAACCTCACTTCCTCTGAGCACGCCTCGTCTGGACCGCGGGTGTTTGTCATGCATCCCTCTAGGTCTACACAGGAGCTGTAGGAATGCATCTAACGGTTAACGTATTCTATCGTCAGGTCCGAGTATTTTATTCAAGAGGTTGAGCTAAGGCTGCATAGCCTGTCAATCAGGACCAAGCAAGCTGACAACTCCGTATGCATATTCTGAATGGATCTGCTTCGACAGGCAGGCTAAGCATTCCGAATCAAACCTCTTCGAAGCAGGCTGCAGATGCAGTGCGCGCACAGAGGTCAGTTGGGTTCAGCACTGCAATGACCATTATCACTACTAGTGACATACAGCGGCGGTGTTCGCCCTCGTTTTCTTTGTTGCTGGTTGTGGTGGTGGTGGTGGTGGTGGTGGTGTTGGTTGTTGTTGCTGGTGGTAGTTGCTGTCGTCGTCGTCGTCGTCGTCGTCGCCTTTCGGCCACCACTGTGACGACCGCGGACTGCAGCTATGCACACCTTAATTTAGCCAGACGTCCACGTACTAACTTGTCACTGGCAGGGTGCACGGCACACCGCACATCGATAGTCATCAGCTGATCCACCCGGATGACGTCGATATTCTAGCTGCTGTTGGGTTCGTCGCAGCAGGACTAGCAGTACTAGCGGTTCTGTTGCCAGGTTTCTGCAGTGTCTTGACAAAGCCGTGCGCCTGTCTCTATATGAGTGTTGGGCGTGAACATGAGTGTTGGGCGTGAGCCTCACGGAGTGACTGCTTGTGACATCGTGTCCTGGCTCAGCACGAGCCTAGGCTGCTGGCTAAGCCAGACTGGCCCGGGCATTTCCAAATTAGTATTTCTGCATGTTTCCATGATCTCACTAAACAGTTACCAAGGTGCCCACGCACAACATGGTTCAGTAACACAGCCGCAACTCTAAGCTCTGTGAGCCTGGGGTTGTTAAGAGCCCTTGGCACGACCTCGGATTTATTCGAAGTGTGCATCCGTTCGACCACTATGTCTGTGATCGGCAGCACTGTGTCTCTCCGGCGCCCTGCATCTGCGACCGCACTGAAGGACTCGGGTGTTTTGGACGGGGTTTTGGGTTCAGAGAGACTTCTGAAGCAACCTGGATTGTTGACAGGCCAGGAAACCTCACCGCAGCGGCACAGAAAGCCCGGGCCCTCCAGCGGCTAGAGGCCGACAGATGCCGTGTGGCCCTTAGCTTCAACCCCAACTTTGAGGCCAGATTTCGCGCCCCCGTACGCCATCGACCAGCGTTGGGAGCGCGGCACGCAGCCTCTCTTCCAGCTCCTCCCCTGCAGAAGTGAGTCGCATTATGCTTCAGGGCGTTCAGGGAATGGCATGGCCTCTTCGACTCTTGTTCGATATGTAAATAATTACGCACATGTGTTTGGGCTAACCAGCTGGTCGCGAGCAGGTGTCGCCATGCAGTTGTTTTTTCTAGATCGTTACAGAGGTCCGTGCTCATGTTTGGACTTGGGCGTACTTCTCGTTTGGAGATTTCCCGGGGACTGTCAGGTGCCCTGCAACGCTTCCAGGACGACGAGCAGAGATCTCACGTGGGCAGCGTACCTCGGCAAGGTAGTTGCGGTGAAATGCAGAGCTGCCCCTTGGAGTCTTGACGAAGGCTGTGCCAGTGGCGTCGTCCCTTGGTTTGGTCAGCGTGCCATCGGACGTCGTGCGCGAAGGCCAGGTCGCAGGGAGCTGGCGCATCGCATCGAGCTCTCGCTTTGTTGCAGGGCTTCTTCGGATCCCTTTTGCACCAAGCATTGGCCACACTCTCGGTTGACTCGGTTGAATGACAAAAGCTGGAAAAACATTGAGGCTGTCAGGGCTTCTGTCATTTCATGTTGCAGCGCCATCGTCATCGGTTTGAGGTCGAGAGCCCATTTGGACAGAGCCCTTCAGCCCGAACTACCGCAGCAACCACATTGGCATGGAAGAGAGGCAGCCCGGTTCTAGGTCTCTCAGGTTGGTGTATGTTGGGCTCAAGGTTTCCAGTCAACTATTGATAGCTGGAGCATCTCAAGACCTCTGCTGGGCTGGTTGTTAGGTCCCAAGAGTGTTGCAAGGACTTCCACACCTGATATGAGGCTTCCTTCTAGGAGGCTTCGTTGTTTGGTGCCGGAAACGTGCATGATTGTAAGCGGCTTGGGATGCAGGCTAATGAGCAGGTTGTCTCGAGACATTGCCAGATGTAGTCAGATATCTAGACATGAAGGCTCAGGGAGAGAAAGAGAGAGAGAGAGAGAGAGAGAGACTAAGCCCGGCAGAAAGAAAGAAAAGAAAGAGAGAGAGAGAGAGAGAGAGGGTGAAGAAGAGAGAGAGAGAGAGAGAGAGAGACCAGACCTCCTTTGGCCGAGTGCAAGCCAGAGAGAAACCAGACTCGGACTGAGGCATAGCGCTTACGCGCAGGGGGAGGGGAACTTGCGTCCCCAACCCCACACGCCCCGCAAGCCAGCAAGCAAGCAAGAGAAGCATGTGCAGGGCATGTGGCCTGCAATTTTTCCTTCCTCAGAACGATGTGGCCTATGTCAATTGCAGGGACAGTAGGCGGCATCGGCAAGAAGCCGGCGAGATCCAGACATGTCTTGTGGAACGGCTGGCATGCTGCACGCTAGCACAACAGAGTCAGACATAGTGAAGCAAGTATCGCTAAAACCAGGGATGCAAAAGTTCTTATTTGGAAGGCATGATGCAGAATCAGGAAGTAGGCTATGAGTCATGAGAAAGAGGGAATAGTAATATCTGGCATTTCCTGATAGGGCTTGAAAGTGTATAGTCAGTTGTAGTCAGCAGTCAGGTGCCTCATGACGTAGACAGATGTGCAAACTTTGCGCAAATTGTAGCCAGCCAGGGTATGACGACGTCGTAGCAATGGCAGGCGATGTATCACCAATACAGAAGTCGCATGCTGTGGAGATAAATGTCTGAACCTCCAACTGCTTGTGCCGAATTCATGTCTGCTTGCCTCCGTTCTTCGTCCTCTTGCAGGATTGCCAGGTTGGCAAAGGTTCCTTGCAGACCTTCCTTTGTAGCGGCTCTTTGCAGGCCGGGGCCTGGCTGGGACTTCACCAACGCAGGCGAAAGCCTCGGTAGCTCGTGTCGCAGATCGTAGGAGGAGCAGGTGAGCAGCAAGAGCACTGGAGACAAGACCGTTGGTACAAGTAGTGATGGCAACGACAGCGGCAGTGCCATAGCTCTTCCAGCTGATGCTGCTTTTTCTATTGCGTTTGCGGTTGCTCGGAACGACGAGCTGAGGCATCAAACCCAACCTTGCAGAAAGCTGAACCCCACAGTGACAACTTGATTTGAACCTCTGCAAGGTGGTTAAGGATGCGCATTGCCTCAGGTCTGTCTGCTCTTCGACTTCCCACCCAGGCGGCGGAGGGTCACGTGCGACGCCCGGTGTTCAAGAACATGCAGCCGTAAAACTCGGTTGCAGCTCAGGTGGCGGAATTTGCGAGGAACTGCGCTCTGCAGTCGAGGCACCCACATCTTGCTTGGGGATCTTTATGTCGTCATGAGTGCCTATGGTGTGTGCGAGTGTGTGAAGGGCGGTCAGGTGGTGCCGGCCCGTATGATCAGTTCCTCATGCCTCACTGTGAGAGAAGCAATGCTCGCACCTTCTCAGTGCAGACTGATTACTGTAGCTCCAGTTCTCAGGGTCGAGACAAGGGAGGCATTGCCTTCGTGACAGGACCAGCATTCGGGCATACGAAGGCATCGATCCAAGCGGCTTCAGTACAGTCGCCCCAGGTGTCTAAACCCTGTAAACTGTAAACTGGCCTCACCTTAGCTCCGGGTTTCTGTGCTACAAGTGCATGTCGCTGAATCGAAGCCTGATGAAGAATTTCTGTGCATACTTGCTGCTTTCGATGAAGATGCCAATGAACGGAGGACAGGCCGTGTTTTGTGCAGGCCAAAACACAGCAAAGGCGCAACATCCTGATGCTCAGGCCAGCGGCGAGCACTTCCCCTTCGTGAGTGGTCCGAAGTTCAGCGTGGGACCCTGTACAGCCCGCATGCTTGTTTCATGCTTCTTCAAGGGTCACGCGAAAGCAGCAGCAGCAATGTCTCTACTCTACTCCTAGCCCTACTCCTACTTCTGCTGCTGCTACTGCTACTACAGTGCCACTACCACTACCATCACCACTGCCTCCACTGCCACCGCCACCACCGCCAGCGCCACCGCCACCACTGCCAGTATTACTGCTACTGCTACTGCTGCTGCTGCTGCTCTTACTTCTGCTCCTTCTCCTGCTGCTGCTGCTGCGAGTAGTAGACCGCCGCAGCGACCACGGTTCTCACGCCACAACGACGATGCAAGTCTTTGCACGCAGGATTCCGCGAGCCATCTCCTCTGATGTCTTTGTGCTCTTAAACATACACATTGAGGGCGGATGTGATTTCTTGTAGGTAAGGCAGTTCCTGAGTGGCTGTCGGGTTTGGACCGCAGTTCCACGTCGAAGCCCCGAGGTGACACTCCAGCCACAAGTGTGACGTACACTTCACCCCAAGCTGCCACCGGAAAAAAGCTTCCCCTCAAAACGAACTGAACAGTCATAGCTCGAATTGGTATAGCTCTGCCTCGCGAAGTCCGAGGAATGTCTCCCGACACCGGGAGACCATGCTGCGCGACCTCCATCAAAAGAGCAACCCGGACACCGTGTTCGGTCCTTGGACATGTCAGTTCAGTGGGGGCAAGTTCGAAAAGGGTCGACCATGCAGTGCGGTGCGATTTCGCGTAGTGTGCAGGTTGGCAACTTGCCACATGTTTGGGGGATAACGACATCAAGAGCTTAAGTATTTTGCAGACCTTGGCATTCGACCATATCCAAGTCAGGGGTGCGAAGACTTAGCCGATTTCATACTCGCCCCTCTGTGTCTAGAACGTGCTGCCACATGTAGAACGTATTTTGATACTTCATCTTCGCACATCCTTCCGCAACGCTCCCGTTCAGGAAAGCAGTGGACCGGCCTGTACCGCCTGTACCTTTGCGACCCTTCCTGCCTTTCCAGGCCGAAGTGTGTTTTACCGCTTGCTGGGCTCTTGTCGGTTGTCTCAGCCTTACAGTTTTCAACAAACGTATAACTCCTTTGTCGAAGTTGTGCTGCCAAGCCCGCCCCAAAGTTTTGAGGCTCTAAGTCGTCTGCAGCTGTCATGGGCTGAAGGGTTTAGGAGCCCAAGGACTGTCCGGTTGCCCAGTTTCGACCTGCAGCCGCAACTTGTGTTGGAGATTCGACGCCCTATGATACTGGCTGCCGCTAGTTGCTCACTGGGCCTGGGTTGTCGCTCACATTGACATTCTCTTCTGAAAGGGGTCAGAGTGTCACAGGAAGACGCTCGAGAAGCTCGATGCTCTTCTCCGATCCGCGCGAAGTACTGCTCGCTTCTGGGCATCAGGGCGCATCATGTCCGGCTTCGGGCATGCACTGCGGAAGTAACTTCAACAAGGACGTTGTGAGTTTCCGGGTTTTCGAGGGTAGTTTCGGTGCGGAATTTCGGGGCAGAGGCCAGGTCAGTTCAGTTTCGGGTCTGGGCGCGAACAATTTATAGCAACCACTAGTAGTACAAGCAGCAGTGGACTCGTGGCAATGACTACTCGTACTGGTCGTACTGGTACTTGCAGTACTGCAGTGCGACAAGCAATTACTCGCAGTACCAGCAGAACTACTCTTAGTAGTACTCCAGTGGTAGTGTAATTAACAGTCACCAGGCAACATCCCGAAGCCCCTGCTCCCCGCGCATCCCGAAACTACCGGCGTCCCGAAACTGACGGCGTCCCGAAACTGACCCCACGCCCCGAAACTGACCACCTCGCGAACCGAAACTGGGCCCCGAAACTCACCCCCTTGATCCGAAACTCACCGGCAGCCGATCCGGAACTAGGACCGCGAAACTCTGGGCACCCACATCAACAAGCCTTTTCGGGGGCTGGTGGATCAGTTGGTATCAGCGATGCTGCTGTATAGTGTTCTGTGTACCGAAGCGGATTATGATGCTGAAGAACAGAGGTCCGGCCAAAAGCAAAACCGGCACCAGAAGATGCGCTCTGAACACTTCAGATTCACAGCTTCTTTGCCATCTTAGGTTGCATCCGCGTGAGCAGACGCGGCTCCGGAGGAATGCAGAACAACGGTCGGGCTTTGGTGCATAGACGCGACTTACTGCCCTGGATCTCAAAGGTGCTCTTAGATGTTCAACCTTGGATCTCAGGATGTAGGGCGTGTGCATGGAGGCATGCGAAACGCTGCTTTGCTGTTTTGTAGTTTATGATGTGCTCTTTGCAAGGAGGGGCCATTCACAAGTTCCGAGCCCTTCAAACTCAGGGGCGTGGAGATGATGAGCCATGTGGAGAACTCTCCGTGGAACTCTGATCCCATCCTGTAACTGTCAGCTGCACTTTGCAGACTCAACTACTGGCAAGCACTGGTACCTGCGAATTATGTCCATGTCCCCACGTGGATCTGTCTGGCTCACACGCATTCTTTCGGTGTTTCTGTCGCGTTTGCGGCCTGCCTTTAAGACCAAGTGGTGGTGAAGCCACCGAGGAGTCCGAACATACCCTGGCAGACATGCTGCTGAAGCAAGCCCACATCTAAAACAAAGATTTTGTGTTTGTCTCTTACAAGCCTTGTTCCATAGCCGCCATAGCTGATGACAGCCAACGACTAGCTGACTAGCTTGTCTGCCGGTGGATTGTATCAATTGCCGGGTTTCGTGAGCAGCAAGCAGGTCGAAAAAGGATGGATGGCGTGGCTGTCAACGTGTGATGGTCTAACAGCGAGTTTTCAGACTACCTTGCTCCAGCTTGAAGAAGGCAGCGTCAGTCTTCACCGTGCAGAACCAGCAGACAGACATGCGTGGAGATATGAAGCCGTCTTTCCCAGCGAATTTGCTCCCATCAACACCATGGCGTCGGGTCTCGGTCAATCCACATCGTGGAATGTAGTATCCTCCGAGTTCTGTCGGCTGATGTCTGTCCGTGGGGCCAACAGTTAGCAAGCAGCTACCAGCCGATCGTATTTAGCGAACTGCAGTGCTTCGAAGCCAGATGCAGGCACGATAAGTAGATCGAGCCACACCGGGCAAGCAGGAAGAGGTCGGTGAAGAACGACATCCCGTGCCCACCAGATCTTCCCCATCAGCAGAGCCATGCAATGTCGTAGGCCTGGCAATAGCTTGGAGGCCGTTCTGCGGTCGAGAGGAGATTACCGTGCCCAGCCGCATGCTCATCAGGACGTAATTGTTTGATTTCTTAGCCGTGTGGGCGCGCTCTACTCAGTCCTGACCATTCCTGCCCGTTTTGAACCAGGGAGCCCAAAGCAGCGTCGGGGAACCAAGAATCGCATATGCACCTGTGCGACAGACTTGCATGTAGGCGTGCGCCGAGATCCGGGCAGCATGTCCGAAGTTGTGGCAAAGCTCGGTTCTTAGTCGCTGTGCACGCACTTGGTCTGGAGCTGGAATGTGCACAGAATTGCATGTGTGGCAAGTTGCACCGTTGCTGTGGATTGATCGATGCCTCATTCTTTGTCTGCTAGGCTGCGGCCAATGTTACGGTGTCTCCAAGCAAGTGCTATTGATGCTAATGCTGAGGAAGAATGGGGCATTGCCAAAGGAGCGCCCACGATTTGCTTGGTGGGCGGCTCAGAAACTGGCTTTCGTATGCCTGAGCACCATCAGCCGACACAGCTGCTCACGCATTTTTCTACGTCTCAACGATTCAAGCATCACTCCTGTGAAACTCCAAATCGACCCTTGGCAGCTCCGCCGGTCAGGTGGCGAAACTTGCATTGCCAGGCTGGCCCGAGCTGTGTACAGCATGTGCCGGAAGTCAAAGCTTCTCCAACCAGCACGGCTTGCCAGCCCCCACCCGAAATGAGCCCAGGCAAATCGCACGTGGGAAGGCGACGGAAGGTGTGCACAGACCAGTTATCTCGCTGTCATGCATAATGAAACTGTGCTTATGCAGAAAAGCTCCTGCAACATTCTTGCAAAACACACGGACCGGATTTCCGGCACTCGAGCTGATAGGGTTGTCTTTCAGAATTCAGAAGTTCAGAGAAAGCTTGAGATGCAGGGTGCATCAGGGTGCACTACCGGGACGGTCAGTGATAAAATGGGTTCATTGTTGGCATGAACGTTGACAGTGCGACCTTCGGAGTATTTGCTTTCACGAGCTCCGACTCTCAGAGCTCGGGTAATCGGGCCCACGTCGCTATTCTACACGATGCGAAGCTGATGCTATCGCTCCTCTCCCGTGCCAGCAGCACCTTCGTCCACCTGCCGGTAGTGAAGAGGGCATCGCCTCATCTGAAGTGGGCGAAGCAGGCCGGGCTGAGAAGTTTCGTGACTTTTGAGTCTCTTCACTTCAATGAGCTCAGCCTTCAGTTTCGAGGTGCACACACAGCAGCAGACTTGGTTGGCACAGCACTGCGGCATCCTCGGAGGAGCATGGCAAACACTCGTGCATCGATCGGACGGCTTTCATGGCCTTGTGCTGCACGAAGACATCCTATCATTCCCGACGGGAGGATCTAAGAACGCCGGGAGCGGCTTGGGGACATCGCAACTCCAAGGGGGGATGCGTTCGGCCGACATGCAAAAACGCTGGCCGATGTTCATGGTGGCTGCCCGAGAAGATGCAACAGTTTTTTTTTGCATCTCGGGCTGCCAACCCCAAACGTCGGCCACGCCAGAACTGTATGTGGTGTGAAATAGTACGATAGTAAAATAGGAAAATATTGGAATAGCAAACAGTAGTAGTACCTGGTAGTACGTGTTTTCGTACCTGGTATGGGTACCTGGTAGTACGTGATAGTACACGGTCGTAGGTGGTTTTTGTGCGAGGTGTAGAACGCCGTAGTACGCAGCAGCGTGTGATAGTACGTGGTTTAGTACCTGGTATAGGGCTGGCAGAACGTGGTAGTAAGTAGTTTAGTACCCTGTCTAGTACCTGGTAGTACGTGATAGTACGTGGTAGTACATGGTAGTACGTGGTAGTACGTGATTCACGTAGTTGATAGTACGTGGTAGTACATGGTAGGACGTGGTAGTACCTGGTTATACGTAGTCGTATGTTTTAGTCCACGGTAGGACCTGGAACATATTCGCAGGCCGACATCATGGAGTGGCTGTCCGGGATGCCAACGTTTCTTTGCATCTCGGGCTGCCAACCCCAAACATCGGCCACGGCAGACGTGAATGGGGAGTCAAACATTAAAATAGTAAGCTACAGCAAGAAAGTAAAACAGGAGTGCCGACATGCAGGCGTGGCTGCCCGAGCTGCAAAAGCTACATTCTGCTTGTAGGAGTACCTGGCATTACGTGGTAGTACGTGGTTTATTAGTACTTGGTATAGTACATGGTAGTACGTGGTTTGGTGCCTGGTATAGTACGTGGTGGTACACGGTAGAACCTGGAACATGTTTGGAGGCCGACATCATGGAGTGGCTGTCCGAGATGCAGAAGTTTTTTTGCAGCTCGGGCTGCCGATCCCAAACATCGGCCACGGCAGTACTGCATGTGCAATGAAGTAGTAAAGTAGTGGTAAGTAGTACGTCAAGTAGTTAAGCAGTGATGCAACAACGGTTTTTATATCTCGGGCAGCCAACCCTGCCTGTCGGCCAGCCAGTTCCCCAAAAAGCGAGGTTTGTCGGCTCTCCCTGAATCGATCCCTGTTGAGGCAAGCTTTGCAAGCCGCTTCCTAAGCGGAGCGTGGGGGCTCGCGTGCCCCGCCCGCGAGGCCCGTCCTCATCATGACCACCTCTCGGGCATTTCCTTTGTGTGGGTTTGCTGCTGGCTTTGCCTCGCAGGAAGCAGTGCATTCTGCAAGTCCCCCGGTCCACACGCTTCAAGTCTTCAGTCGCGCAACCTTGTCCCGGGGCCTGTCAGAGGCTTCGCACCACCAGGTCCTGCCTCAGGGTCCCTTTTGAGTGTCTTGTGTCTTCAACAGATGTTTTGTTATCTTCTTGACACAAGGCATGTTAGGCGGAAAGGATGACAGAGTTTGGCGTTTGAAGCCTAAGCCTCGTATGAGTGTCGTATAGTGTCATGATAAGTCACGCAGGACCCAAGCGCAGCAGGGCGCTGCGGGAAAGCACTGGTAGCCTTCCCACACTATTGCCGCTATTCGGAACAGTTCTCCAATGGGCGTGCGGCTCAGCATCGCGAGTTTGCCGGGTCATCGGTTTGAGAATGTTCTCGGAAGTGCGCCGAGAAAGACAGTGGGAAGTGCAGGACAAGAGATTTGAAGAGCGGCGTGTCTTTGTCTTGCCGCGGACACGTGATGAAGTTTCAAGCGTTTGGCGGAATCCGCAATCGAAATTCACGTTATGGTAATAAGCAGTTTGAAGTGCAAAGGAAAGCGGGAGGTCTTGCTTTCACGTTGTCCAACCACCGAAGGCAGGTCGCTGTCTTTTTGGGACAAATGGTTGCCACGTTGTTGTCGGAAGTGTCGAGGCGAAAGGAACCACTTCCTCACACCCTGAAAGGAAGGCAGGCTTGAGAACAGTGACTTCGGCTGCGCTCCGCATGCCAGTATAGATACCCGTTTCTGTCTCTGGTCCTGTCCGTCGGCTCAGAGCGCCCTGACTGCGTCCTGAGTCGGTGTCTATACTCGGTGATTGTTGGTCGTCGTCATGAATAAAGCTGTCGTCACATCTTTGGACGTGATTTCATTTCGCTGTTGTATTGGCCAAAGGGAAACTTGCTGTAGTCATCCCGAGTCGTGTCGGATCTGTCCAGGGGTTGACCACACATATCCCGACTCGGGTGGTTCAAGAATCCAAGGGTAAAAGGAGGGACCCTTAAGAAGGACCTCCAGGTATATACCCTTAATCTAGCTATTATATACACATTATATAGCCCATTCTATGGTAGGGGTCCTTATTAAGGGTCCCTCCTTTTCCTCTTTGAAAGCCTGCTCAATCTGGAAGTCGTGGAGACTGTTCGATGCGCCCGAGTCTCGCGGATGGATGTCTCCAAGCAACCACTCGGGTAGAGTCCCCTGGAACCGAAATCCTCTGCAAACGTATGTCACAGAGGAGTGAACCAGGCTGTCCTGGGCCTGCAACGGTGCTGTGCGTGCAGCGGCCAACATGCGGAGTCTGTTGAGCAATCGCTGCATGACTGACCCGCTCGCTCTGTGGGGATCTTGGCCCAGGCCACGGACCTTCGGGGGGACGCCACGGAGCTAGCAGCTCGTGCCAAGGAGCTCTAGAAAACACGGCCAAGTTGGCGCTGTGGTTGACGAGCTTGTTTAGGTTATTCTGGGATTCGAGCAGTTCGCAGTGTTGAGTTCAACAGGACTTGGGTTGCATTCGGTCATTTTGCACAGGGCACAAAGTCTGTCGTCGTAGGGTGCTGGTGCAGTGCAGCTGTGCAGCCTGCCAACACATTTGGTACTGAGGAGGAAAGACGAGAGCTTCAGCAGAGGCGCATCCGTTGAGGTCGTTTTTGCTTGACAGCACAGTGTGCGCAGGAAAGCCAGTCTTACAATGGGCAAGTAGCAATCCTGGACGGTGTCGTTCGAGGCGTGCATGCGGCCTTCAGCGGCTGCGAGAGACGCAGCAGCAATGGCGGCAGGGGGCTCTGGGGAGTGTCGAACTTGAGGCAGCGGTTGTCTGGCCGCTATAGGGTATGTTGTCTTCCTTTATGCATACTGCGTTTTGACATGAGCCGCTGTTGGCTTGTCTGTGCCTACGTACCTTTAGGCATGGCTAGATGTCGGTTGTTGCTCTTAGTATGCATTGATGGAGTTGTTCTGCTCTTTTATGATCTCCCCGTATCTCTACACATCTTGTGCTCTTAGTCCGGACATCGTGCAGACTGGTGCAGCTTCTTCTCATGACTACTTTTTTCATGGTTGTTATTCTTGCGGTCGTAGACTGCAGTTTTTTCGCTAGGAACTGGTTGTGGTCAGTAGGCTTTTTCCCTTGTCTTGAATCTGGTTGCCATGCATTGTCACCTGTTTGCGCTGTACCGGTCGTTGACTCAGCAGTATGCTGCTGCTACCAGTACCGGTCGCAGCAATGCTGCTGCTTCTTCTGGTCAAGCGGAAAGCGCGAAAAATCACGTAGACGTAGACTAAACTGACTAAACTACTTCGAAACTGAGTCAAGAACGGTCTTTGGATGCCAAACTCTGAATGAATCCGAAAGCTTAAATCCTGACGAGCTGCGGGTTTCGGCACTTTGCATGAAACGTGGAGACTTAAGCATTGGAGTACGGGCTTATAAGGGTTACGGAGGCCTTCCAAATCAGAATAGGGCTTCCTGAGGGTTTGCTGTGGAAAGTAGAGGCCTTGTCTTTTCGAAAGGTGTAATGCTGGGGCCTCACACTTCGAACACGCTTTTTTGAGTATTTCTTTGGGTGTTACTCTCGACACAGCTATGGAGGCCTGGAGAATCAGAATAGGGCTTTCTAAGGTGTTGGTAATGGGGCATTGGCAAGGGACCCGAAAACCACCGGACCTACACTACCTGAGCAAGTTTTTCCAAGACTTCTGCACCGGCAAATGATTGAGTTTCGTAGGGCTTGAAAAGAACGGGTAACACGAGCCCTCAAAGTTCCAAGATGATGTTAGTGGCGGGAACACTTACTACTTATGGTTTTCCTCGGTGTGCATTGGACACATGATTTCTGTGTGGGCTTGGACTGCAAATGCATGCAAGGGAGGCGAGATGGGTTCGGTGTGCCAAGAGCTGTAAAGAGCCCATCGTCAGCTCCAATAAGAAAATTACTGCTTGTTACTACTACTCCCCACTCCCTACCCCCTACTCCCTACCACCGCCACCATCACCATCGGCTTCGCTACGCTCGATGGTGGGACTTAGTGCTAATAGTCAGATTGTCGTTGTTCTCCAACGGCTCCTTTCCAACACTTCTGAGCTAACTTCATCAGACTGCGGCGAGACAGCATAGATCCTGCTTTGCTAGCTCGCAGAATTGGCGGATGTAGCCGTTCAAGCGGCAGGGAGAAGTGGTAAGTGTAGGACTCTCCGGGCAAGGCGCGAACAGCGTGGAAGGCAGAAGCAGCGGCAGCAAAGTCCAGAGGCCCTAAAACTCGACACATTTCGTGACGCTTTGGCGATGTTTGGTGCTAGTTCTTGTCCTTTCGGCGCTGGCTGCTGGCCTGGTGAGGCTAGAAGTTCTCCTAAAGCCGAATCTTGCAACTCCAGCCTGTGCTCCCGCATCCGGAATCCTTGCTTGTGCAGGCTTCACCGCCGAGCACTGCTCATGAGGCGAGCATTTGAACCCGTTGTATGTTCGGTGCGGTTTTGTGTTTCTCTCAGGTAGACAGTTCCATCAGTGACTGCCCTTTCTGTGCATGTCAGAGCATCGCAGAGCTGCGAGGTTTTCAAGCCCGGTCGGATTCGGCAGCCACGTGCCCGGAAATCCTGCCCTGTACAGGTTCACTTGCTGCGCACATCTCATGTTGTGCAATTATGCCTTCAAACTCGGGGCTACAGAGCAGTCATGAACTGACTAGACCAGCCATTGACCGAGTAAGTCTTGCAATGTTGGCTGCCGCAATTGAGAGCAATGCCTCACGCCGGAAAGCACCGAGGTCGCTGGAGAGTGTCGAGTCGGAGGACCACACCCGATATTGAGCGTTCTTTGTCGGATTAGTGCTGCTATCGTGCTTCAAATTCCTGACTGGGTAGCGGGATTTTTGTTATGGCTCAGACTTCAACGCCCGGTCGCTTGATGAGAATCAATCGTCATGAGATGTCAAGAATGTAGTATCTGCAACTACGAAACCCGTAAGCGGTGGTGGTGGTGGTGGTGGTGGTGGTGGTGGTGGTGGTGGTGGTGTGGGGGTGGCGGTTGGTAGTGTTGGGCGTTGCTTTGGCGTTGGTGGATGGCGCTGGTAGTGGCAGCAGATGCAGCACTGTAGCAGTAGCTGTAGCCGCAGAAGTAGCGGTAGCACCAGAGCCAACACTTGAGGTAGAAGTAGCCGTAGCTTTAGCTGTAGCAGCAGCAGCAGCTAGAGATGAACAAGTAGCTGGAGCAGCAGCGGAGCGGTAGCAGTAGCAGCATCATCCCATCACTATCACCGTCCCCTTCACCATCATCGGTACCATCACCATCACCACCGTCATCATTACCATCATCAACATCGTCATAGCCATCACCACTGTTATCGTCATCATCACCATCACCATCAGCATCCGCATCTTCGTCATTCTTATTATCACCATCACCATAGCCATCATCACCATCATGTCAGCAGCATGGCCATCGTCATATCCATCATCAGCATCATCAGCGTACAAGCATCGTCGTTTTCTTTTTTCAGCTACACTTTTTTTGGTTTCATGGTCTTCATCATCATCGTCATCATCATCATCATCATCATCATCACTATCATCAACACCGCTGTCCTCATTCTCATCCTGATTCTGCTTTTAAATTTTTATCATCACGGACACCGCAGGTGCCGTCATAGAAATAGGACTCTTGGGGATTCCGAAGTTGCAGGGTTGCGTGGATGGCGCATGGAGCACTCTGAAGGACGAGAGCTCCAGTGATCAGAGCTCGAAGCCGTGAGCCCAGAGAAGGGTGGTGGATTCACTGGGGGGAAGGATTGCATGTGCCGACTCCAGTCAAGAGATCGATAAGACGTACTGAGAGGATGTTGATGCCTCTCGGGTAAACATGACTCCACCTCTGCCGTTTGTAGTGTGTCAGTTTGGGCAAGGTTTGTTCATTTTCTGGAGACGCCTGTCAGCCAGTACTCGTAGAACCTTGTTATGTCATGGTTTCACATCTCAATGCTTGATTGAAGAGGTCCAGCTACCAATCTTTGCATTTCCGTCGGTTTGAGTTGGACAGCCTTGGCCTTGTTTCCAAATGACCCCATGCCAATCCAAACGAGTATAGGCCTCTTCTCTTTTGTTTGCGGAACCGTGAAGCGCATTTTTCGCCGAAATGGCGGCGAGAAGCTCGTTGTAGTTCCAGCGGTCCGAAGGTTTGATGCAGCTGTGTGAGTCCTGGATAGAAGAGCTTTGCGTACGGAGCCTTACTAGGAGCAGCTTTGGTGATGGCGAGAACAGTGATCAGTTCGGGCCCATCGACAGATTCGACAGGCCTCAGCGGCGATGGGTCTGAAGGTGAGTCTACTTGTGATTCTGTTGCCAGAGACCTACCCATGCCTACCCCTAGGGTCACAGCTGCAACTAACACCAGAGTACGCCGCTTTGGCAAGAAACAACATGTCTACAGTACTCGTGAGGTAAGTCAGTGACTGGGATGACACTACAGCATGACACCCATGTATGGACCCAAGAAATCAACGAGCAGCAGTAGCCCTTGCCAGCGGCCAGCGATAGGCTGAAGGCCCTTAAAAGGTTTTCGGGCTCTTGAAAATGGACGTGACATCAGCTTGCCACTCCCGTAGCACGCAGATGTTCAGACGGCCGCATTCCGAACCCAAGGCAACCTTGCCAAGCCTGAGCATTGCAGGCCCTCCTTTGCCGAGTCAACGAGTGGCAGTTCCTCCGCGGAAGGACAGGATGCCCTCGTGTGCATTACAAGTTTCAATGTGGTGGTTTAAAATTGTGCTTTTGCTCAGAAACGAAGACTGTCACCCGAAAGTGGTGCCTCGCGCAGGTCATGCAACTTTCACGGAGCAACGGCAGCTGAACTCCCAGTCTCTGGGGCTGGGAGGGAGATTTGGCGTTGGTCGTCGACTCTTGTTTTGAAAAAGTGACCTGCAGCTGCAGGCCAGTGGCCCAAACGTCGATGCTGAGGCGCTTTGCTGTGAAGAGTCAAGAAACTCGACTGTAATCCGATCCGGGCAGCGCGCCGGGTGTTGCAGATCTCAGACAAGGGAATGCATAGCGGCATATTGCGATATGTTGGTTCTTGCCAGGAGTAACAGGACTTGGACAGAGTTTCATAACGAGGACCCGACGCATCTGTGAAAGCTTGGCGAGGCGTAACTCTGTGCAGCGTCAGGGGCTGCTTACTCAGCCGGCAGCCACCCCAGCTGCTGGACCCTGTGGCTTGGGGAACATAGCGTCTGTATGCGACTGTGATGCGTCCTAGTACTAGTTGATAGACTCCTGCAGTTGCTGTCTAGACGCAGAGAGACAATGTCCACGTCCGAAGCGCAAAGCAAAGCCACGCAGGCAGTCGCAGTCCACGAATTTAGACGCACGGAGTCCTGATGGGAGACTTGCTTACCGCGACATACCGCGATGGCACGAGCACTCGCTTATGGCCAGATGCAAGCCCATGCACCTCGCCACAGAGTTAAAGTAACTTGGGTACGGCCTCACTGCATCTCGAGCCTGGCACAAGCGAGGTTGTGGGCATCACAGCCAAGGATGCTGAGGGAGGCGAGCGCGGTTCAGGGTTTCAACATTTTCATAAGTTGGGTAGATCATGTTCGGCGCTCTTGCGAAGATCTGTAAAGGATGCAAGCGCGCTGCATCCCTTAGATCAAGTTGCACGATATTGCACGATTTTGCAGGGCTACACCCATGCATGACGCTCCTGTCACCTGGGTGTGCTGCTTCCCAGACTGTCCGCAGCATCTCTCAGACGTCTTTTCTCGTCGCTGACGGATGATGTCACGATGAGAGCACAGAGTCCTCATGGTTAGGCAGGGTCCATCAGCACCAAGTGGAGACATGGGTAAGCGGGGGGTTGAGATAGATCCTGTTGATCGCACGTCGCATTGCACTGGATACTGCAGGTGACATCAGTTTGGAGGAGCTCTTTGATGCAGGACAATCTGCGGACTCGGGGTTGCAAGTGGTCTCTGTATCTGCAGAGTTGGCTCGGTGCTGCAGTGGCCGCATAAAGTCCTGGCATTAAAGAGAAAAATTTCGCGAACCTCTCCTAAGCACTCCGTCGCCGCAGAGGCAGCGAAGATGCACGTCAGGCAGAGGTGCATGTGTCGCTTGGGTCCCAGTGCTGTTCGAGTGAGAGAGGCAGCAGGAGGCATTCTTGGGCAGCCTTGGAGTCTCTTGTGGTAGGAGTTTGCGTTCATGGTATCTTTCAAGCGCCAGACAAGATGTTGCCAGGTCCGGGGCTGGATTTGAGTCGCGAAAGGCATAGCTTTGCCGCAGGGTACTTCTGCCTAGCTTGCCAGGAAAGTCAACACGCTGGCTGTGCAGATCTTAGAGGGACAAGCACAAGCCTTTCGATCTTCGCTTCGAAGGATTTGGCTTCTCAGGAATGCCATACAAGTTCTGGGGAGGGGGTGGGGAAGGAGGATCATGGGTGAGTGTTCACGTAGTGGAATGTCGGTGGAGATTTGCTGGCGGAGAGTTGCCACATGCCATTCGAAGTTGAGGCTGATGATTTGATGATATCTCTTCTCACCAGGCCTGAGACAACGTGTTTATTGCATGGCCTGAACTCAGATGTGGAGGGACTTCATTGGTTAAGGAGGCTCTTTGGTACAAGTACAGAAACGGTCGGAGGACTTGTACCAGGCTTTCGAAAATATCGTCTCTGGTCGTTCTGCCCGAAAATGGCTGCGACTTGGAGTTGGATTGGAGTGTAGAAGCACCGAGCCATTCTAGTCTCTGCATTTGAAAGCCGCGGGCAGGAATGTCTCAGGAAGCGACCAGGAGGCCTCCAACTTTTGCCACATTGGACCGGCTGCTACTGTAGCCAGGGCGCGCAAGACGCTCAAGTAAAATCCGAGACATGAATGCTTGCGGCTGGCGGCCGTCCTGCCTGTCGGGGTCAATCTTTCGTAGAGTGCGAAGAGTCGCCAGGGCTTGCAGCGGGCTGCAACCCCCGATGCCTGGAGCACAGGCTCTCTCGGTAATCAGCTGATCGGGCGTGGCTAGCTGGCTGTTGGACGCATCATCAGGACTTAAGCATCTAGAATTGATACTGGTTATCCCTTGCTGGGCTTGAACTAAAGTGAGAGGAGGGGGTTTCTGGGGCAGTTGCATCTCAGGTCCTTCCCGCTGCGCTGCACGAGGAGTTTGCGGCTTCAACCCGCCGGAAGTGTGAGGCCGGAAAGCTTCGGGCAAAGCCAAGTCGGCAGCTTTGAGCCTCCCGTCCCCAAAGCAAGTTATTGCAAAGCCAACCCGAAGCCTTTGATCTCCATGTCACATTCTCTCAACTGGCTGCAGACCTGGCGTGCTGAGTTTCCTCTGGAGGCGAGGGCGTTTGGTTGTTCGCATGTTCACCCGGTGTTGACTGGCAGCGCAGGTGTTGGATCAGCTTGCTGCAGCCTTCGACTCCTGGCAAGAGGAGGATGGCTGCCGCAAGAGCAGCCACCTGGCAAGCATAGAAAACGCACAGCATCGCACTGCAAAACCGCAAGAAATCTTCCACCGCTTCAAGCCTTTCTGAGGCGTTCGCAATCTCTGCCAGGAGCCGGCCTCGGACTGTGTCTTGGAGGCTTCCTAGGTCCACTGCCCACGGGCCATCATGGGAGTTTCAGGAAAACATCACGTGCGATGATCGATGGGCTGTGCACTCCGAGGTCCTTCGTTACACGCTGGGCTGGCCTCCGAAGATCCTGCAGGAGGTGCTGCAGGCTTTCCGATAGCCGGATGCGAAAGCGATGCATTTTCACAATGCCACCAGGATAGGATAGACTAGATGTATCAGAATTGTTACGAAGGCACCGTCGGCGATGATCACGCAAGGATACTGAAACGAATGCTTACATAAGGACATCTGTTGTTTGAATAAGACGCACACATACCCAAAAACGCGCACACTCGCACACTTGCACTTCTAGGCAAAGGCCAGGAACAACTAGTGTTGGCTCTGCACCCAATTGCGACATAGACACAAGGATGTGCCGAACGACTGTTTGTGTGTGTGTGCGCGCTCCCTTGGCAGGGATTTGCCATGTTTTGTCTTGCTTGCAGGATCAAAGCCAGGAAGAGCTGTATTTCAAGCGGCTCAGCGACCTGCTGGAGACGGGTTCTACAGTACAAGGGGCTGCGCAGGGCTGCGCTCTCTCTGAGCTCTCTCTGTCGAAGCTTCATTTGTAAGATCGAGGAGCTTATGCGGGAGGCACTGCAGTTGGCAGAGATGGAGGAGCCTGATGCCACTGCCTCACTCAAGGCTGCAAGAACATGTTCCTACATTCAGAATGTGATGGTTGCACTCGCAGCGGCGACGAACCGTCCTCGTTGGCACGTCCCCAGCACGTGCGGGAGTCGACATGTTCGTCGCATGCTGCGTAAAGTGAGGTGTTGTGGTCAGACTGGGATCTGAATCTGGTCAAGGAGAGCTTCAGGAGCTCAGCTCTGTGCACTGCACTGCACTGCCATCTCATTTGTTGCTGTCTGTAGTTGCAGCCCTCAGAACCGTGCAGATGAGTATCCAACAAAGGAGGTTTGCATCGAAGGCCTCCAGCACCATGCCAGTGGTGAACCTTTTTCAGGCTTCGATGGAGCTGTGCAGGCTTCTGGAGTGGCTGCTGTAGGTTCCGAGTCAGAAGGTCGAGGGATATGAGGGATCACATCAAATTGTCAAACGCACCGAGTTCAGCTCACAAAGCAGCATTGACGTTCTCTGCGCATCGACGGGAACTGGTAATTCAGCGTGGGTTGTGGGCCTCTTCCTGACTTGGCTGCTACTGGCACCACGGAAGCTACTCATCTTCCTGTTGAACGGGATCTTGACGTCCACGATGACTCACACATACCACGGCATTTCCGGATCTTCATATCATCGCGACGTCTCAACCTAGATTGAAGCCAAAGGGATGCCCACAAAAGCAAATGGTATTTGCCCCCCTTGTCACCCAAGCTCAGACCCACTCACCTGCCCGAAAGGGGGGGTGACAACGCAGCACCATGCATGTAACGTACACACATATATATATATACACACGGTGCTGCTTCAACACTACCCTATACCATTGCAACAAGAGCATGGTTTCGGAGTTGCACAGTGCCATGACAATACATGATCAGAGGCTGTGAAGGTACAAGATGACAAAGTGGGTGTTGCATGAACTCAGCCTTGGGTGGTTCTAGCGACTAGTTTCCTTTCCTTATGTGAGTGTATATCCCATATCATCCTCGCATCATTGGGCAGATGCTGCACTCTCCGAATCTCAGCAGGCCATCCACGTCCTCGGCTTCGAGGAGCTCGAGGTCGACTCGCCTGACAGGCAAGGGCTTTTCCTGTAGCGGACGTATGCCAAAACATTTTAGCCATGTACTTGCATCTATCCATCTAGCTTTTTGTATTTTCAGTTATATATATATATATATATATATATTATTGTATATGTATACATATGTATACATATGTTTCATCGTTTATGTGTTGGTTTATGTGTTTATAAAGGTCTGACCACGAAAGTGTTTGCGACCTGCCGGCTGGATGAGTTCCTGCAACCGAATCCTGGACTTCGGTCATTTCTTTTCTGGGCTCATCTGCTTCCGAAGGCCTGCCGGCCAGCAGAGAAACCCCGCGAATCATGATCGTTTTCTCCGCTTTCTCCAGCTTAGCGTCAGAGATGTGTTGCCGGGGTTGGGGGCTGCTGGCGCAGGCAGAGGTGGCTGGCCGGCATCACCAAAGAAGTTCTAGCCAGAAAGGCCTCTTCTGCAAGCGGTTGCATTGCGCGCTACGAAGGAGCTGATCTCATCGCCACTGTATATCGTCTGCATTTGCTCCGCTGAGTTTTTGCTTGTAAAGGGATCTCGTGCACGCAGCGGAACACGATGAGCCAGAGCACTTGTGCACATAGTACATCCAAGACCTGCCGTCATGCGGATTACGCCATAGCATAGAAAGATCTCAATCACAGCTGAGCAACTTCATCTAAATGGCAGTTGGTGGCTGTTCACAGCGGGCCTTGCCGCCCTGCCTGCACTCCCAGCCCAACCTAAGGAACGGCTCGCCAATTCTGTATCATGGGTGCATGCCTCATGCTATTGCGCAGCAATGGCGGAAGCCGGGGGTCGCAAGCGAAAGGCAGAGGACTTCCTCGAGTTGGAAGCAGAGGAGGTAGGCCAGGGAGAGGAGGAGCTGGAGGGCTCCGAGCTTGATGAGCTCATCGACGTCACCCGGCCGCGAGAGCCGCCGAAAAAGAAGACAAGAACTGTTAGAACTGCCAGAAGGCACCACATGGCATTAACTGCTGTTCTGCTTGCATGGAGCCCCTTTGCAAAGATTTCCAAGGATTCCGGGGCTGCTAAAGATGATGGCAAGAGCCGCGCAGCCCTTAGAAGGAAATTAAATCGGGACGACAAAGAACTGGAGCAGCTCCAGAAGGAGGTGCTTCTTGCATTCGGGTTCGGGTGCTGCTCTGCGTAGCATCTTCTGGCATGCTGGGATCCTGAATGAAATGCTGCACGGACTTTGCATGATGCGAGTGGTAGGGCAATGAGGGAGAGCTCTCCCTGAAGGTGGCAGCACGCGAGCGTGGTCCTTTGACAGGCTCGGCTCGGCTCTTCAGCTCTGCGAAGCTGGATCAGCTTGAGCAGAAGTACCAGGCGCTCCCACAGCGGTGTAGTCTTCCGGATTCATGATTCCCGAAGTCCATGAGTTCACACGTGTCTCCTCGACGTGGCAGGAGCTAGAAGAGAGAGCCAAGCGTGGCGAAGACATCAAGCCTGAGTTTCCTTCTCAGGAGCACCGGTACAGCAGACACATTGGTGTTGTTTCTTCAAGCTGCATGCTGTCCTTGCCTTCTTACTTGTTCTCGTTGTATCTTCGGTTTCTGCAAGCGGCTGTGTTTCTGCAGGAAAGAGTTAGCCAGACTGTTCCCGTACCGGAGCCTGGCGATCCAAAGCTCTGGTGCTTGAAAACATTCGCGTCAGAAAAAGATCTCTGCATCTCGCTCATGTACAAGTCCTTTGAGGAGCCAGCTGGAAAAACCAGTGCTTGAGAACTCGTGCATTGTGACTTTACTTCGGTTTTGCTTCAATTCGCTTCTACTGACCTGCAAGTCATGCCTTTGTCCAGATCTTCCAGCTTGCCCTGCAGGCAATGTCGCACGGAACCCCTGTTCCAGTCTATTCGATTTTCTGCTCGCCACATCTCAAAAACTTCATTTACCTTGAAGCTCACAAAGAAGCAGATATTCGAGCGTTCACAAAGGGAATTCGAGGCATTTCTCAATACACTGGGCTCTCGCTGGTCCCCACAGACCAAATGGCTCTGGTTTTCTCAGCCGCGCACAACCACGCACAGAAAACGCAGATGTTACGTGCTGGAGACTGGGTGCGCATGAAGCGCGGTCTGTATATGGGCGACCTGGCCATGATCGAGGAGATTGAGGATGAGAATTTCATGGTGAAGCTGAAGCCACGAATAGGTCGATCTGGTGGGAAATCAAGCAAAAGGGCTCCTCCGGCCTGGTTCAATCGAGCAGACCTGGAAGCCAGGCAAGAAGTCATCGTAAACACTGAGCCACGGCGGACCCAGAAGGGGTACAGACAGTTCTACACTGTCAATGGGGAAGCCTATCGAGATGGATTCTTGTTCAAGAGCTTCAAGAGAGGATGGTTTGACTCCGGTGATCAGGTTCGGCCATCGGAACATGAGGTCCAGGACTGGCGCAACGCTCCAGCCATCTCTGCGAACGTCCGACCGGAACTGGATCTGCCCAAGGACGAAAAAGTGGAAAGGGAAGCGATGCCTCCGCCCCCCTTGCCCGCCAAAGTGTTGGCTCCGTCTGGGCCGTCTTTGAGAGAAGGCGACAAGGTCATTGTAATCTCGGGTGACGTGAAGAACCTCATCGGCATTGTCATAAATGCGGTGTCAGGTTCGACCACGGTGCTCATCAGGGCGCTCAACTTAAAGCTAGACCAAGACATGTCCATCTCCACATTGAGATTGTGCAAATATCTTGAAGTGGGAGATTATGTCAACGTGATCGCGGGAGAGCACAAGGGAGACGTGCCCTGGTCCTGCATGCGAGAGTACGTGTTAGTTTCATGTTTTTCATATTCTGGTGGTAGTGATAGTGTCTACAGAGTCTACAATCCTCGCTCAACCCTCACCCAGAGCGGCACAGCATGATGCCGTCTTTGGAATTCGTGCTTGCTTGGGACTTGACCTGACACGAACCTTGGGCTTCGTGGGGACCTTGAACTTACGAGTACCGAGTACCTCAAGATGCTTGATGCCGGATCTGTTGCATCCTAACAGCCTGGAATTCATGAAAAGATTGAGTGATCAAGCTCAGGCTGGCCACGTGGAGCGAGTTGACTTGGGCCCAAAGCGCGAATGGGGCCCACATACAGTAGTTCAAGTTCTCACCAGCGACTTCTCTTCCTTCAGGGCGAGCGTCAACGATCTGCACAAAGGCCCGGGCCGGGCTGGCTCTGACTGCTGCGGTTAGTTTCGATGGTGATGTGGATGACGTGGATGGTTTATTAGTGGCTAATAGCTGCACGGTAAACATGCGAAATACACCGAGTTCCTTGCGCAAAAGAGCTGTGTTGTAGGCATCGAGAAGCCCGAGACGACGGACCAAATTGGCGAGTTCCAAGTTGGCCAGCTAGTAATGGTGGCAGGGCGGTCCGAGGGCCGCGCCATCATAACGCGCCTGGAGGCTGGGTCGCGCGCCTTGGTTCTTGGCCAGGATGGTGTGCAAAGCTACGCAGATCTGGCAGAGCTGCAGCCAGTAGAACTGCCAAAGAGGCATCTTTACAAGAGACAGGTTTGGTGCGAGGACTTGGGTTGCCCAATGCACATGCTGTCCGTGTCTCTGGTTCAGAACTTGTGAGAGTTGACAAATGCACTTCAAGCGAGATGGCAACATCCGGACAGGACCGCGTCAAGCACAGAATCGTCCCAGGTGCGATGGTGAAGGCAGTGCAGGGATTCAAGTATTTTTCGGCGAAATGGCACACCGAGTAGTCTGCGTTTGCCTTGGAAAGCGCTGTTTCGGCAGGCTCCTCGAACACTCAGCGGCAAGGCCACGCCTATTCAAGCCGAAGTGCTGCTGCTCGACTGCACTCGGCGAGTCGGTCGTTGCTCTGACGCATCCACTCCAGCTGGTGCAGCTTTTCCGTGGAAGCAGAAGCCAGAGCTGCAGCTGAGTCTCAGGTGGATACACCAGAATACGCTTTTCTTGAAGGCGGTGGAAGGCCTTGCATGTCACTCACCACAGCCTCGCAACGGGTCAGTCGCACGAGTCATTGGATCTCCAGGCCTCGTGGGAGAGAAAGCCTACCTTGTCGCGCCCGGCGACAAATGTGAATTCGTTTGGAATGCAGATGATCTGCCTTCTAGACGGCCGCAGCAAACTATGAGATTGCCTGAGATGTCTGGTTCAGACGTCCAGCCGAAGCAGATGACATATGGGATCACGATGGCTTCAGAAATGTCGTTTTTGAGGCTGGATGCTTGCACAAGATCCACCGAAACCCCATAATCGCAAAAGGCAGCGACTCGGAGGGGTCCCATGTGTTGTTGCTGCTGAGGCCGCAGTGGCACAAAAAGCTTGGCCTGGCACAGCCGACGAGCCGCACAAAGGGTACCTTCCTGAACAAGGGCACTGCCGTGCGGATCACTGGAGGGAAGTACAAAGGCCTTGAGACTCAAAGACTCCCACTCAATCCCACCATCCGGAAGCCGGAAGCCAAAGCTTTGAGAGTGCGGAGAGTTCGCTCCTCTCTGTGGAGGCTATCGAGGAGAGATCCGCGACCTGCTTGGGGAGAAAGCGAGGATTTCCTTGCTGGCTCAGTCCCTCGGCTACTGCAAAAGGGGGTGTGTGTATACAGCGTGTGCTTGGCAAAGGACACGGACCTCAAGTTCAACTCCCAAGCCTTAACCATCTTAACCTCCCTCCCTTAACCCCAGCTACTCGTAGTGTATCTGAGCCCTGAGCGGTGCTCAAGCCCTGACGTGCCTGTTTCGTAGCCAAGTCGAGGACCACATTCCTCGAACGTGCAGGAAACCCTTGGAGTAGCTTTAGAGATGAGATGTCGTAACGGCGTCCTACAGCCTTAGGACGAAGCTCGTGGAAGTGCCGTTGGAACACATAAACCACGACACCTTCACCGCGGAAAAATATGTCCGATGGCCAGGCGCGGCGGTACTCGGCTCGTCCCAAATCTTGCGGTTCCTGTTGGGAGTCCCGACATCTCCAGGCTCACAGCCGAAAACGCCTTGGTCGGAGCCCATGCCGGCACCTGCAAGAAACGGAGCTTCCAACGGAGATTTGCTGCCAGGGCAGATGCTCGGCCAGCGCTGTGTACCAGTAAACTGTAAACTAGTACGCAATGCCTTGCCAACAAAGCCGCAATTCGAGGATCGCCGATGTCAGCGACAATTTACCCACCGAGGAGCAGGCCTGGGATCCGAGACTCGGCAGTGCTTAGACTCTTAGACATCCTGGGACGCAGGACTGAAATCCTGCAGCTCTAAGGACGTGGTTAGCATCGGGCGAATCCGAGGGCCAACGAACTCCGGGGACCCCACAGACGCCCGTGAACATCGTGAATCTCGTGAATCGTGATAATGGTGAAGCTCGTGCTGATGGCGATGGTCCTTCGGCTGCTGGCACACCCATTTCCCCGGGCACGCCGCAGCCACCTTCGGTACACTCATTGCCCTCGGTGACATCTTCGCGGAAGCGAGCAGCACGCTTGCCGAAGCACCTGCTCTCCGGAGCTGCTAATGCCTCCTAGGCCGACGCGTCCCGAGGCTGCGAGCCTGCGCGCCAGGGTGCACAAAAAAGAGCTGAATGCCCGACACAGCAGCAACATCTTCTTGGTTTTCTCGAGATATTTGCTATACAAGCATTGAAGCGCACTCTGCGCAGAGTGCAAGCCATCGACCCGCTATTGAACTTCGAGATTTCACTTGTTTTCCGGGTGCAACGGAGGCTAGCCGGGCCTCTTTGTCTGTGGAGACCTCGCGGCGCGAGTCCTGGTCGGCTGGCCCCACGACCCGGCCCGGAACCAAGCCAAGCTGGTCGGGTGAGGCTCGCTATGAGCTGTTATATGTTGTATTGTGTATATATATATATATATTTATTGATATGATATGATTGAGAGTCGGTCTGCATCGTAGACGCGGTCCGCTGAATCAGTGATGTGCTGCATAGAAGGGTGGGCGCCGGAGCGCAGCTCAGCTTCCGAGACTTCCTCCGTGCGCCGGAACGGGCGTTCCGTGTTCGGTGAGCAAGCTAGGGCTAGGATCAGATTAGCAAATCTTCGGTGGGGTGGTCAGTGCAAACGGCCTTGCTACGAGTACGGATGAGACGCATCTGCACCATGTGGTGCAGTCCGGAGGTATTGCCAGCCGCGCTCTGCGTGAGCTCGAGAAGGAGATGCGCATCGACGAGTTCCGCGCCGAGACAAAGGCAAAAACTCGGGAGGCTTTTTGGAACCTTGCTTCGCTTGCTTGAAGGTAGGGCCGTAAGGCCTGCAGCAAGGAAGGAAGCTGACTGTGGTAGGCTTTTAAGGCTGTCGCCCGGCATTCACGATGCAGCACGCGATGAAGGCTGTCAAGATCGGAAACTATGGTCTTCTGGAGTTGGAGGAGCCGCAATGTGGAGCATTCCAGTGTATAGGAATGACATATTGTACCGGCAATAATATCTAATACCAGCATCAGACTCCAGAACACCGGAGACTGCTGCAAGAGCATCGCCCTACACCCCTAGCAACCGCTGCTGTCAAGTCCCAATCGGAAGGACCATGCTGGTGCTGCCAGTCAGGTCAGTAGTAGGGTTGAGTACTCCATACTTGTCTCTCCTCTTCCTCCTCGTCCTCCTCCTTCGCCTGCTCCTCCTGCTGCTGCTGTTGTCGTCGTCCCTGGCAGTTGTCATCATGGTTGTTATTGTGGCTCTCGTCGTGCTGTGATTGCGGTTTTGCTTGTGTCGGTGGCTTTTTCGATGGTCGTGGTTGTGGGTGTGGTGGTCGCGATTGTAGTTGATGGGTATGCTGCTTCTTCTTCGGCTTCATCTTGATGTCGATACTCTTCTGATGGTTGTTGTCGCAATTTTCGCTGGTCTTCGTGTAGCAACTGTTGCCATGACACTGTGACCGGCGTGCTTTTCAAGCTTGGGCTGCGATCACCCGCGAACCCTCAGCAAGGGACGACGAGAGCAGATGGTTCGAAACTTGGATCCAGAGTGGATATGGGTTCGCTGCATGTATCGTGTCTCGTCCAACATGGACAATCTCGTTTGCATACCGTGGAGTGAAGCCCAGACACGACGCAAGAGCTGCGACCTCCTGGCCGTCCCACGTCTCCAGCATCTAGGTGATGAGCCTTAATCAGCAGGCGCGAAGCTGCATTCAGGGTGAAAGCATCTTAGGCCGGCAAAGGCCCAAGTGTAGAGAAGGAGCGATCGGTGTCTGAGACGATCCACATGTCTCCTAATTATCGGTCTGGTGGGTAGGAATTAGGAGATCAGTTTCGCGATCGTTAGAACAGACGTGATCATGTTTTCCCGTGGCCATTTTGGCGACAGCCGATCGGGCCATACCGAAAATTTCGGCGTGGGAGGAACAGGATAGATCGCTCGAGTGCAGCAATGTCGTTCCCTCCTGCGGGCCCTTTTCAGGGACATCGTCCGGCGGCTCAGCAAGTCCAGTTCGGGCTGCCGCGCAGGATCGGCCAGACGGAGAACCCGGATCCTGGGGGTTCTACACTCCTGGTGAAGCGGAGGCTCCTGAGAACCCGGAGGCTCCTGCTGCCGCATCCGGCGACTGGGGCTCGAGTTGGGGTCGCGACGATCGTCGAGGACGTCGTGACCGTGGAGCTCCGGCCGCCCACAACCCCTTCGCTGTTCAGCGACCGGAGTTCGTTCGTCAGCTCGTGATCGAAGAGGAGGACGAAACCAAGAACTCCCTCCTCGTCATCGACAATCGCGACGACAGCGTGATCTCCCCGTTCCAAAACTGGCTGGCCGAGGAGATCATCTCGAATGCCGCCAGCTCGATCAACGTGCTGACTGAGCGGGATCTGGTCATGTCCCCGAACTCGGGTTATCACTGTTCGCTGTTCGCGAACTACACGCTCGATGGCATCAAGGCAGTTCTGCTAATTTCGATGACATCGAAGACAGGAGTCAGGAGGTCCCTGTGCTCAGTGGGATTCCTACGCGAGCCGGGCGCTATCGCACCCGGCCTTCCAGCCCTTCACATGGCCGGTGATGTTCGATACCTCGGCTACCTATGTGGACGTGAAGGTCTTCAATGGAAATGAGGTCCTTTTCCACTGGGTGTTCCGGGGTTACCGTTCGGACTCGGATCTCTCCGTCCAGCAACAGTACTGCGACGAGGTCCTGATCAGGACGGCCAACGAGGGATGGTTCCGACCCTCGATCGTCATCTCGGTCTTCGTGGGATGGAAGGTCTCAGTGACCTCGTTCGAGGTTGGAGCTCGAGTCTACACGATCGGCCCGAGAGGAGCGGTGATGGCAAGTGATCACGCCATGAGCACCTGCGAGCTCCGGGTGACGGATCGCTCCTCCCGGGAGGGGTACAGGAACGATGCCGATCGAGTTGAGTTCCGGTTCCGGGACGCAAACAACAGGATCGATCTGAAATGTGGGCGGACGTGCCAGGCACCTGGCACACGGTCAGCCACATCTCAGGCCCCGCCCTGATCAATACGATCCAGGCATGCCGGAGCCAACGCGCTCGCGTCGAAGGCCCGGACCACATCCAGCAGTTCGCCCAGTTGTCTGCGGTGATCGCTCCGTGGTACCACAGCGCGTTCAGGAGGAAGTGGGTACGGCGACAGATGAGTTCGCAGTTGATCACGGGAACTTCCATCTGAGGGCCTGGTCCAAGCTCAGGATCGCCCCGCTGGAGTTCGTGCGGCAGGAGGCGCTCGTTTAGCGGTCCCATGACGAGAGCAATGCCGTTCGGGCTCGCAACGGACCTGCAGCTCTCATGGACGAGGCGGCTCGGCAGGCGGTTCAGCAGTTGGGCTCCTCTGTCACCTCGGCGATCACGAACATGCCCGCAGGTGTTCGATCAGAGGGTGTCGACTGTTCAAGTGCCGACGGAAGGTGAGCTCGCGGAGGCCCAGCTCGCCGAGGAGGTCGTCGTCGAAGCCCGCGATCGCATGAGGGCAGACGTGCGCTTTTCGCGCACCTCAGCTGCGATCACTCCGCAGGTCTTCACGGATGTCCTCCGCAATCGTGAACAGGCGGAGTATGAGCGGATCAGCGGGCTCCGATCGTCTTGTCACTCTTGGCCCTGGACGATCAAGGTTAGCAAGTACATCTCACAGCAAGCTCCCGCAGCTCTTTTCACCTCGTTCGCCGTCCTCTACGATCAAGAGGCCGAACCCCATCGGGACTCTGGCAATGAACCTGTTCCGAACATCGTCTTCAAGCTAGGCTCGTTCGAAGGAGGTGGGCTGTGGATCGAGGACCGGACGTGCGAGAAATTGTGATGGACGCTCGATCCCGGGGTTCAATACTGAGTTCGTCGATGGCAAGATCCTATTCAACGCAAAAGAGGCTCTCCATGCAACTTTGCCATGGAAAGGAACCCGCGTGGTCCTCGCCGCCTACTCCGTGCAGGGCGTCGATCGAGTGCCCTCCGACGAGTTCGAACAGCTCCTTCAGCTCGGCTTCCAGCCGGTTCAGGTGACCACGGGCGATCAGGCGGATGAGTCCTGGCAGACTCTCACCTTTTCGCTCGTCACACCAGAGTCCGATCGGAGGTGGCCCCATGGTTCTCCCGTGAAGACCAAAGAGCACCGCCAACGATCGGCTGGAAAACAGGCGGTCGCCGCGGGCTACCAAATGAAGAAGTCAGTGGTGGCTCCGATGATCGCCACCGAGATGCATCCGGGCGAAGCGATCGCTTTTGCTTTGGAAGCTACCCGTCCGTTCACTCAGGATGCTGACATAGACCCGGATCTCCGGGCTGTCCTCGAGCAGATTGTCGAGGATCCTGCCCGAGTCCGCGATCGTCGGGCTTCGCTCCTACAACATTGGGAGCAGCGCGCTCGCGACTTGGTCCTGCCTTCCGACAACTTGCTCAAGCAAGTACCCGACGCGCATCTGCGCCGCCTACTTCGCGGGACCACGGATGATCAGCCGGTGGAGTTGGGCAAGTTCTTCCACGTCGCCCTCTGGCGCGAGCTCATGGACGCGGCCCACAGTGCAGCGACGTTGACCTCGTTGATCAGATCATGGAGGGCATGCCGATCGTCGGAGACATCGCCTCCTCCCACAGATGGAAAGCCGATCGTAAGCCTCATGCAGAACACCTCTCGGTGGATGCCCTTCGATCGAGGGCCTGGGAGTTTCGATCGAAGGTTCTGGGCGCTATCCGGAGATCTCCGGTTACCGAGCATTCTCCCAAGGTCTGGGAGGGGTCCATGGAGGATGTTCAGGAAGGCTCTGCGGTTGGTCCCTTCTTTGACGAAGCTGAGGTCTCAGAGTTTGTGGGCGACGATCGGTGGATTCCCACACAGAGATTTGAAGTGGTTCAAAAGAATAAAGTCAGGGGGCTCGATAGTGCTACCTCGAACGGGATCAACATGGCGACGATCGTCACAGAGAAGCTCGAGCTCCCCTCCACGGACGCGAACGTGGCGGTGATCAAATGGCTGCGCTCGCGGCTGCCAAAGTCACCACTGCGCGGTTGGGTTCTGGACGAACGGCGGGCCTATCGGCAGGTCCCGATTTCTCCAGCCCATCGCAAGTGGAGCG